TTGGGAAATTGTAAAAACCCTTGAGGAGACTGCAATTTTTATCTTTATACTTCCAAAAATTTTAAGTGACTGGCCTTAACGGCAAAGACAAATAACAACAAGTTTATTCTAACTGTATACAGAAAACTAAGAGAATTTACAAAAAAGAGTTATCAAGAACAACACTAACTATACTCAAGAGCCTATGACTATATAATATGTTAGAGCATTTATGCTAGTTAGAGAGACGTTAACTATACAGTTGTCTTTTTAAAACTCTTTAATCAACTTGACCTAATAGCGCCAGTATTGTTTTCCTGATTTCCAACAGTTGCCCCGTGGTTTGACGAGCCAGCGGAAGTTACTGAAGTTATCATTACTGTGGAAGGGCAAAACGTTTCTTTTGCGTGCACGGCCCAGGGATTTCCACTTCATGTTGAATGGAAGCTTCAGAAGGATGGCGAGGACTTCGTACGGTCCTGCATAAGTGAGATCATATGTTTGATAAAATTATAGAAATTTATGTAGTTGTACATTTACTCTGGGTAAAGCTTAATTAACTGCAAAGAAATAAAAATCGACACCAACAGGGGCAAACAACGACGCAAATAGGTGGTGAAGAGCTAGACTCTTATAGGTGTTTATATTGAGCACGATATTTGTATCATTCACCACATAACGATCTTTCTTGTTAAAGCACGTGCACAATGCCTAGAGAACTATTTGTTTTAAGAAAAAATGGGAAATGAACATTCGACAACCAAATTAAACCCATTGCTTTCAGCATTTTGAAAAATTCATGTGGGCTTCAAAATGTTGTTTGTTAAAATTGTGGGAGTGTACTTTTTGTGTATTGCAAATTGAGCTTTCACTTTGTTTCCTTTTCCTTTAAGATGGCTCAGATGGAAAATACCATGTTCATCGCAGCGGAATTTACGGTCCTTCTGTGTTGACTGTATCTGATGTGCGGTACACTGATGTTGGATCTTACTTCTGTTGCCTTCCGTCTAACTGCTCGGGCAATATCCAAGATAACTGCCAACACTTTGTTCTCCAAAGTAAGAGCCTTAGTTCAAGTATAACTGCAATTTCATTATTTTTATCTGATTATGATAAACGAAATATTGATACTTGAATGAAGCGTAAGGTCTGTCATACCGCTATAGTCCTGGTTGATGCTCAGAGATGGAACATTCATGACCGGAACAAAATATGATACACTATAGAGTGGTTTTCACTTGACTGTCGAAAGGGATTGGTTTTGGTTTTGGTTTTGGTTTTACTACGCCCTTTGGTTGGCTAGTGTATTTACTTTGGTTTTGGTTTTACGACAGTCAAGTGAAAACCGCTCTATATAGAATACTTCATAGAGTGTGCATATGCGATATTTACGCAGAGTTGCTGACTTATCAGAAATCGGCTGAGTGAACGGTACCCTGATTGGCTACACTCATTTGAGTATGAAAGATTCCGACACCTTTTCAATGAGTGTATCTCCGATTGTGCTTAGCAACGTTTGAGTGTTGTTTTACGAGACTAAATAAGTCTGTTTTGCGTTTTCTGCAGAGCTGCACACTTTTTCAACATTCTGGCAATACTTTACACTTTCAATAAATTTCCACCGAAAATTGCTTGTTTTCTGTGAAACATCAAATATTTACCAGCTTAACTGTGCACTTTTGTTTTGTTTGTTTTTTTTCTTATCTTTTACTCTGCACTACTAGTTTTTTGATCTTCAAGAAGACTGTTGTTGTCATGGAAAAGCATGTGGACCTTTTCTCCTGAGCATGGAAACTTAAGGAGCCGACCATTTGACTTTTGAGGGGGTTATGTGTGATTTGGTTTGGGTAAAAAAAGAAATTCTCCAAACATCTGGCGTTAGATTTTTCCCCGACATACACTTGACATACCTGTAACTATATATTATTTTCAGAGCAAGAATTTTTTCCCCCAAGGTATTTCCTTGCAGGATCTTTTTCCCTCGAAATCAGTCTTAAGGATATATTTTTTTCTGAAATCACCCATACCTCCCTGCAAAAGTCGAATGGTCGGCCCCTAAGGTTTCTAAAATAACAATATGCAAAATAGATTGTGAAATGACACGTGCTCGCAGTGATTAGGGCTTCACGTCTCATCAGAGTGTCTAAACCTTTGAGTAGTATTGGAAGTTAATCTGTAACACTTAAAATTTACGACCATCCTGTAGGGCTCGACTCTGTTTCGTTGCAAGGATTGTCTTGAGAGTCATCAACAATTTATTTGCGAGAGGGTTAAAAAAACTGTAATAATAGTTGTCGCTTGCCAAATAGCATCATCATGTTTCGAGAATACCTGAACCATGCACTCCTCAAGATTATTACTGTTATCGGTTACTGTCGATTACTATCGATTGTTATCCATTTTTTAATCGATAATAAACGATAAATTATTTTTTCTATGACTTCGATTTCTATCAATTTTTCTACATAAATCGATAACAATCGGCGGATTATATCGATTGATTTCCGAGTATTGATTTCTATCGATTAAGTACGACCGCGATTTTTTGCATTGGCAGCCTTTATCATTTGTTTGCCCCCTGAGAAACCACGTGACATTGCTTTTTGCCCAGCAGCCCTTTAGCGCGTGTAAAGATGGCGGGTATCGTGAATAAAGTCTATTAAACATCCACGCACTCAAGATTTGAGTAATTCACCTACTGATTTATTGCGCTCCTTCACTGCAAGTAGAGCACTGTCTTGCCTTCGCCGGTGAACATCTACCTAAATTATAGCGGAGCTCTGGGTAGCGAAGCGCGCCTGCGGAGCACCATGGGTAAGTAAATCTACCCATCCCAGAAAATTTGGTAATCATGTGACCGTACACGGCCCGCCCACCCACCCGTCCGTCCGCATCACAGGGGAACCAGTGTTTAATCCTCACACTTTCTAGCCAGTTTGGGAGCACAGGAAGACTGATATTGTACACATATATTCCACATCAATGTTGTGATCAATTGACAGCTGTCAAAACAGGGTATCCGCTGACCAGTATCATCTGACCGTATCGCGGGCTCAGGTGTCGACCCATCGAGGTCGAATATCTTTTTGAAGTTATCCGCTGACAAGTTACTAGTTTTCAAATGATCGCAGGCTCAAGTTTATCTTTTTAAATTCATATGAAATATGTTGTGTTTTGTATGTGCCGCACAATTAAAATGTTGATTTCAAACTGACCTCGGAAGCTAAAATTCAGCCAGTTTTTACAGGCAGGGAAGACATGCCAGTTGCTTTTGACTTTTCTCATCAAGGTCACGCGTTGGTCACACTCTACGTCCAATTTTTATGCTCTGATTGGTCAAAATTTGACAGGTGAGTTCATGTGGAAAATTTATGCAGCATCTTGAAACTTGTTTACTTTGCTGAAGCTGACAGAGTTTTGTGTCAACTTGTGATGTTTTTGACTGTCTTTTTCCACTGAATGTACAAAATGAAATTCAGCTGCTATCAAGAATCTTCTGTTATTCATGGCTAGTTTGTTTACTGGGTTTTTGGTTGAGAAATACGTCGCTTGTCAAAGTCGGAAATCCGATTTCGGATGGCATCGTTTGCGTTTTTCACCTTGCTTGATGCGTAAGAGGGTTGAAAAGTCTGAAGCGAATCTGGCCTTACTTGATAGTTTTCAGTGCATCTCGAATGGTAAGCCTGAGTAATTATTGTATTTGACGTTTGTTTTTTATATCTAATTTAATGAAGTCGAGCGTAGTTTATGCGGCTATTTAGTTTATGCACGTTTTTAATTGTAAGATTTGAGACAATGATCTGACCGAGTATCAGGTTTGATTATAAGCTTATAGAACTTTGGAAAGCCTTTAGACATTTTCTCACCGCAAATAGAAAGAAAGAAAACGTTCAAAGAATATTTAGATATAATTCTGGCTGTAAAAGAAAGCTTTGAGCGATTTTCTTGCCTCGAGTTCATCTTTGAAAAAGCAAACACCGGGAAGCCGGCTTACAAAATGGAAAACATAAACAAGGATTTTCAGAGACAGTTTAATACTGTCTTCGTGAGTGAAAGTTGTTGTCTCTGTATATGTTTCACCGAATTATTTTCTTTTTATTGATTGTTAGTAGTCTCTTTTGCAATTTTTATCGCTGTGCCGTTTGTTTTCAGTCGCTCATGAACATCGCTTGCATGCGGGAGTAGTCAAAAAGCCGCGCGTATCAAAAGGTTTTGACGATTACACATCGTTATAAAACCATTAAATAAAAAATAAACATAATAAATTCTTTATTACGTTGAAGCGTATAACTCTATTAATAATAATTTAAACAGTCGACTTTGGCGCTTGTCAAAAGTGAGAACCGGCGAGTCGTATAGGTGATTTTCGAAATTTTTTTAACGGTTTCGCTAAAAGCCCACACGTGCTTCGATCGTCCTGAATATTGAGTGAGTGCAATTTGTATTGCAAAATTGTGAAATACTGCATTCTGTCCGAGGTCTGTATGATAAAAACAGCGCCTCATGGTACTGTTTCACCTCAGATGTGATGTATAAAAAGTATAAAAGGTTGGTTTACACGTCCCCAGACTTGTTGGCAAGATTTTGTAAAGTAAACTTGTCGAACGCAAAAAATTCGGCCTGATTTGTTTTCCAAGAATTTGTTTTCCAGGCCTAATCTACTGTGATCAAGAGCCCGCGCTCTTAAATGTGATCGAAGGTGATTGCTATTTTTTGGGTGTACATAGAAGGCTATCAACTCGATGTAAGATTAAGTTCACTCTTAGCTTGGACTGTTTGCAAATTACTTTTCTCTAAAATCACTCAACCTTTCCCTCAAAAGTCACATGAATGTGCTCTAAAGTTAACTGGATTGTGGAAAACAAGTTTATTGTTTGATTTAAATTATAAAATCGAGTTAATATATAGGAGCTTCGCTTGTAGCCCCGGCTAAATCCATATATTATATACATATCTTTCACGAACCACCATTAATAGCATACAGACCCAAAAGCCTCCGAGATACATTTCTGAGCGCCAAAATGAGAAGCAAAACGCCTGGAGAAGGCACCACGACGGTTGGTTGTGGCTCCTGCAGCTGGTGCACACGCATAAATAAACCCTCAACCTTCACAGGCACTCAGGAAGATATAATTTTTGATATGTACCATATAGTGAATTGCCAATCAACGTGGGTGATTTACGTTATCGAATGTAACATTTACAGCTTGCAACATGTCGGAAAGAGTGAGACAGGCTTCAACATACAGCTGAACAACCACAGGAACCACATTAAAAAGGCTTTTTGTAGCTGTGAAATTCTCCTTAACCCAGACGACGATCGAATAGTATCCCATGATGCACCTCGATTCATGTTATATTATCAGTGCGTACGTGACACATCATGATCAGTAATCTTCAGCACGCGCGAAGTGAACATCGATCGCAGTGCAATTAATTCTCTTATCTATCTGTGTGAATATTCTGGCCCGTTTTGAGCTATCTTTTCAAAAATTCGGCTAGATGTTGACGAGAAATGCTGTCTTTTCCAAGAAGGAGGTCACCTCGGGCCAAATCTGCCTCCTCCGGACCCAGTTTCGCCCCATTTCTCCCCTCCCGACATCATTCAACGACATCATCTAGCCGGATTTATGAAAACCGTACCATCGGACTCCTGGAGCCCACACACCTTAAACTGACTTAAATATCGCCAAGAAACTCAGCTGTTACCCATGGTTCTCTTAAGGTGACTCTCTTCTTGGTTCCTGAATAGCAAAAGAAACATTCAGGACCATCAAAAAGACACTCTGGGCTTGTCCATACACTCTAGCTGCTTTAAGGCCCTAAATGACGGAGGATGCTTGAGACTTAACCAAGTTCTAAGCAGAGAATTCAAGGTTAAATTACCCCCTGACTTCCTCCCCCCCCCCCCCCCCCCCCAGCCTAGGACGTGCTTGAGGGGAATGCTTTCATTGGCCAATGGGCGTTAAACGTTACAAGAATTTGACATGACAAACTAAAGGCAGACGTGACCAGTGCACTGACTCTCCCAGAGCAAGACTAACGGAAGGTACCACGCTTTTGCCGCACCCTCCCCCCTAGGGATTGACATGGAGGCCCCTTTCCAACCATGGCGAGTTAGCTCAGGGACTGAGCTTGACAATGACACCAACCAGGACAGCAACTAGTAAGGGGGCTTACCTACCTATTTATGTTTTCCACAAACACAAAAAAAACTCTTTTAATTTATTGTCTCTAAGTCGCTGTATTCGTCTGCGGTGATTGCTCTATAGCAGTTTTCTGGAGAATTGGGAAATATTTTACTAGATTTAGTTCGAGTGCTGCAGAAAACACAACCTCGTTCTCACGCTCCTTTCCTACTCTCCGGAACGAAAGAGAGACGCTCTGGGGCAAAGAGTAGAATAGGACCCTGGGCCAGGTTGCATAAAACCTTCTTAAGATAAGAGGGGTCTTAACTTTTGTTCTGGGACAAAAACCTATTGTTTTGAAAGAATAGTTACGAGTTCCCTTAATCTTCAGATGTTTTTTGCAACCCGACCCTGGAAACAAGCAAACTAAGGCGATTCGCGCAACTGTGAAATTTCACTGAAATCAAGGACACAATAACTCCTCTGCGAAAAAGTATGTTGCTAAAATTTCTTTAAGTCCACGAGCATAAGGCCGGTGACTGTATGGTCGACTAGAGAGCGGAAAGGAAACAGTGACTTTTTTTGAATTCTTTTTTGGTTGGAAGAATTTGATTCACGTCATTGTCTTGAGTACTCTAACGACATTAAATTAAAAAGACAGCAAATGAGAAAAAAAAAGCAACAACAAAAACAGAAATTCAAATTAACGAAGAGCCTAAATTGAGGATCAAGTCCGAGATAACAATTATCATTATCGCTTTAGACAAAGGCCAAAAGGCGGCTATAAACTTTTTGACACATTTAAAAGTAATCTATTATCAGTGTCGTGTTTGTTTATCTTCTTTACTTTTTTAAACTTGCTTTATATTTTCTCTTTTAAAGGATATACGTGCCGAAAACTCTCCTCCACAAATGATGTGCAAATTTGGCCCGACAATTGTGTTTTGTACAATCAAAGTTACGCATCGATTTGCTCATTTTCCTGCCCCACTGGAAAACAAATTAGTGGTCCTTCATCTGCTCTGTGCGGAATAAGAGGAGACTGGAACGAGGACGTGAACGAAGTCAGCTGTAATGGTTCGTATAACTCTAACTTTTGTTTCTTACTTCTTTTTACCCTTAGAAAGTTATATGTTTTTCTCTTAATATTCCAAGCAGCGTTAAAAAAATAATGGTGAGGATGCAGTACGAGAATTAAGAGCGAATGCACAGAAAAATCCAGCAAAATCGGAAAATCGTGGCCACAGCTCAAAACCTAACTTACCTTCACTTTCAGTCAGGGTAATAAGGTTTTAATGAGTTTATAACTCTGCAGAGCTTTAAATTTCAAAATACCGCCGTTTGAGAATTAATTGAGATTTTCGATTTCAACGGTCAGCTGGCCTAAAAGTAGCCGCCGAACACGGAAAAATTATGACGTTCCATTTCCGCCAAAATTCAATGTTCCATTTTACATTAAACTTTGCACAACCTATCTTACATTCTGTGTTTGTCATTTGAGTTTGCACTCGCGATTCAATTTTTTTGGCATTTATCATTCAACTTCGATTTATGCATTTAAGTTTCACTTTCGACATTAAACTTTTTCATAAGCAACAATCAAGTTTTCGAATTCGACCTTCAAGTTCAGTGGAATGTACATTCATTTTTTCGCATCCAGCATTTAGCATTTGTCCTTTAAGTTTTCGCTTCCGACATCCGACTTTGGGCATTGTACTTGCAAGTTTTCGCATTCGACATACAACTTTTCGAATTGAGCTTTTAGCTACTGGTCAGCGACCGATGGAGATCGTGGGCTCAATTGACTTACCCATTCCCGCTCAAATTGTGGTCGAGAGACTTCCCAGTAGAGTGGACTCGGGAGACCTTCTCCACTCACGATAAACTGGACATCGACAGACGTGTTCACGACCGTGTGATAAAAGCCGCCGTCGACAAGATGATGCTGCACCAGCTAGTTAAAGCGAAGTGAGAGCCACTCTCTTGAGGGTAGCTGACCGTCTGTCTTCTATGGAAGAAACAGTATCTCCAAGTAAGTATCGGGCAACCTTTGTCAAGTATGAAGAAGTTATGTGTTCAATAAAGTTCGTGTTCGCCCCTACACAAGCATACACGTACGCATAATGGCTCAGTCAATTTCAAGCGTGTCCATCCCCCGGGGCATTTGTCATCTCGTCGGTCCCGGCGGTGGGGATTTGTCAGAAATTAAATCCTCTGCCCTAGGGTGGGGCATTTGTCAATTCTTCTAGAAGAGGTTAACGTCGTTCCTTTTTCAACACTTCACTTAAAAATATTAACATTCAGATACCTATAGATATTTCTATAAATAATATTTTTAATACTTATGCTTTAAAAAGATATATGTGGTTTTCACTCCATAACTTCCATACCCCACAGTATGTTTTACATCTGTCCCGCCATCGTGATCAGTTGGCATATGGATGAAAACATTCTATGTATATATCGTTTGAAGAGTTTAAAGGAAAGACAATTTCTTTGTGCCGTGAATGTTTGAGGTAGAAAGGCCTAGAAAAACTCTGCGAGATACATAAAAGTTAATATAAACTTTGTGTATTGTACGATCAATACAAGAACGCGCTTACAGCGGCATTCACGTCTCGCCTGTTTGGAATTTAGATCGAGAAATGAGGAGGCGATTAATTCTACAAGAAACATGATTTACTCGCTAAAGGTTTTTACTTCCTACTTTATCGACGTCGATACTTTTTATTTGTTTCTGAATTGATTTAGTACGCGTGTTAGCGACCACCAGGGCCTCGATTCCAGAGAAATTACATCATTGCCAGATATCGAAAAAGTTATTTACATGGCACGTCATTTCAATCATTGCCGAAAATAAATCGCATGCTCATCACAAGACTCATTTTGCATAACAGACGAATCAGCCTCAGACTAATTTTGCTCCATAATTCGTCTTAGCACCGAATTTATACTAGGGAGTAACTATCCGTCTGAGACGGTTAATCCGTCTAGACGGATAATTCGTCTCTAGTATAAATTCGGCCAATACGCTGACGAAATGGTTCCATCATGATGAGAAAATACCCATCTTAAGCTCGTCGGTTGTTTGTTTATCATTCACTATATTAAACATCTTCGAAAATAATTGAGGTCTTGTTAAAATTCTAGTTTCTAGTTTTGTCTTTAATATTTAAGAGGCAGTCTCAAGCGTTCCACTCGATTTCGGACTCGAAAAAACTTTTGCCTCATAATTTTACCGTCAACACTACTATCCATCCTAATAACCAAATTGCAGTTATAATTAGAATGAGGAAATTGTTTATTTTACTGCCATTCCCAGCATTTCATTGCTGGACGGCCGTTAGCGGCTAAAATATGCAAATGTTAGTCTCTTTTATACAGGTTTTTTAACGATCGTTCTAAAGTTCTTCGTCCTAGACTGTTTGCACTCATTTGGAAGCATATTACTTCTTCTTACTGTTCCAATACCATTTAGGCATTATCTTTCTGTGGTCAGCAAGAACTGGTCGTTTTTATTTCACTAATCCAATTAAGAAAGCAAAATGCACGAATCAATGCCTCAAAATCATCAGAAAATTCTTAAATGTGCCAACTAAACTAGACCTAAAAACATGTTTTAGTTAGAAATTAATGGCTATTTTGTCAAGTTATGCAATAAAGCTTGTGGCACAACGCGATTCAGAATTGAAGGCTTCAACTCAAATTTAGGCAAATGTTCATTTTGCGTTGCGTGACAGTAGCGACTGCTGTCACAGCAAAATCCTTAGTTATTCAAATACTTGCCACTATTAAGTAAGATATACCTCATTTTCCCATTAAAACGATTTTAGAATTCCCTTTTTCCCTTTGCCAATGATATATATTGTTCAAAAATTAGTTCAGCGAGTAAAAGATACTTTTCCTAGCTTCATTTAACTGTTCCCACAGCCCCGAACATTCGTTTTTAGTCTGTTACGTCAAGACGGAAAATACCTTTCCAGAACCAAACCTCTTCTAGTTTAAAATGTGGTCCAGTCTGAAAAAGCTGCATTGACCAGAAGTTACTCTGATCCATCACATTAATATATAGATTTAGCCAGGGCTAAAAGCGAAGCTCCCATTAATAAATTTATATTTTAAATCAAACAATAAACTTGTAATCCACAAATCAGTTAACTTAAGGGCACATTCATGCGACTTTTGAGGGAAAGGATAAGTTATTTTAGAGTGAAACATCTTACATCGAGTTGATAGCCTAAATATATGTACACCCAAAAAATAGCAAACACCTTCTATCACATTCAAGAGCCATAATGGCTCTTGATCACAGTAGATTAGGCCTCGAAAACAAATTCTTGGAAAACAAATCAGGCCGCATTGTTTTGCGTTCGACAGGTTTACTTTACAAATCCTTGCCAACAAATCTGAGGGTGTGTAAACCAACCTTTTATACTTTTTATACATCACATCTGAGGTGAAACAGTACTTTTTATCATACAGACCTCGGACAGAATACGGCATTTCACAATTTTTCAATGTCCAGGACGATCAATCGTGGGCTTTTAGCGAAACCGTTCAAAAAATTTCCAAAATCACCCATACGGCCAGCCGGTTCTCATTTTTAGTGCGACCTGTCAGTGTGGTCGAGTGTTTGAATGAACTTTAATGGAGATACGCTTCAACATAATAACGAATTTATTATCATCACTTTTTGTTATTTAATGGTTCCAGTTATAACGATGTGTAAAGTTATAAAGCGTTTGATACGCGCGACATTTCTAAGTACTCCTGCAAGCGATGTTCATGAACTATGAAAACAAACACCACGGACAAGCGATTAAAATTGCAAGAGAGACTACTAACAATCAATAAAAGAAATATAATTCAATAAAACATTTACAGAGACAACAATTTTCATTCACGAAGACAAGTATTAAAGTGTCTCTAAAAATCCTGAGTCTTTAAGCTTAAAGCTTAAGCTTAAGTTTATTTTGTTTTACTTTCAGCCGGCCTCCCGGTGTTTGTTTTGTTTTTCCAAGATGAACTCCTCGAAGCAAGAAAATCACTCAAAGTTTTCTTTCTACAGCTAAATTTGTAACTAAATATTCTTCGGAACGTTTTTTTTTCTATTTGTCGTTAAAAAAAAAATCTGAAGGCCTTTTAAAGTTCTGTAAGCTTATATAAAACCTAATACTAGATCAGATCATTGACTCAAATCTTAACAAACGTGCAAAAACTTGCCGCATAAACTGTGCTCGACTTCATGAAATTAGATATAACAAAAACAAACATCAAATACAATAATTACTCAGGCTTACCATTCGAGATTCAGTTCCTGAAAGATATCAAGGAAGGCCATAGTTGCTTGAGACTTTTAAACCCTCTTACGCATTGAGCAAGGTGAAAGACGGAAACAATGCCATCCGAAATCGGATTACCCAATTTTGACAAGCGACGCATTTCTCAGCCAAAAACCCAATAAACAAACCAGCCATGGATAACAGAAGACTCTTGATAGCAGATGTATTTCATTTTGTACATCCAGTGGGAAAAGACAGTTAAAAACATCACAAGTTGACACAAAACTCTATCAGCTTTACCTGTCAAAGTAAACAACTTTCAAGATGCTGCATAAATTTTCCGCATGAACTCACCTGTCAAATTTTGACCAATCAGAGTACAAAAATTGGACGTAGAGCGTGACCAACGCGTGACCATGGTAAGAAAAGGTCTTCCCCGCCTTTATTTTTAAAAAAGTGGTTGAATTTTCGCGTCCGAGGTCAGTTTGAAATCAAAATCTTGACAGTGCGGGGCCATAGTGACATAAACACAACATATTTCATATGAATCGTTGGAAAAAATAGACTTGAGCCTGCGATCATTTAAAACTGGTAATTTGTCAGCGGATAACTTCAAAAAAGTACTCGAATTCGATGGGTCGACACTTGAGCCCGCGGTACGGTCAGGTGACACTGGTCAGCGGATATCCTGTTTTGACGGCTGTCAATTGAGCACAACATTGATGTGCAATTAGTTTTCTACTGGGCTCCCAAACTAGCTAGAAAGTGCGAGAGAAAACATTGGTTTCCCTGTGGTGCGGACGGACGGTCGGGCGTACGGTCACGTGATTACCAAATTTTCTTGGATGGGTAGATTACCACATTTCCTTTGCTATGGAGCTCCGTCCACTCGCGCGCTTCGCGCGCGGGTGGAGCTCCGCTATAAAATCAAACGTTAGAAGAAAAGTAAATTTCCCACTGCTTAATTAAATATGCGTGAACAGGCCAGAAAAGGTTTTACTTGTACTTGGCCCCATGTAAGGGAATCCGGATTCCGGAATCTGGAAAATTTTGCTTATGGAATCCGGAATCCAGGGCTTTGGAATCCAGAATAGAGGTTAAGTACCCCACTAAGGAAGGGAATCTAGAATCCAAGTTCCACTGGAAAAGACTGGAATCCAACACCCGGAATTGAGAATCGATGGAATGGCATCCAGAATCCAAGACTGTCTTGTATTCGCTAAAATGGGGCGATAGTACTGGACTGTGAACGGCGAATTACTATTTTTCTTTTATTTACCTTCAACCTATCAAGAGCCCACATTTGAAGACCTTTGTTAATGAAATTTCAATTAGAAGGTTTCTTCCTTTTACTGACTGTTTCTTCCTATCAGGAGTGGTCAGCTTTAGTTTTCACGCACCAAGAGACAGTCCGGAGTCCAAGGCTACTTTTGTGTCGCAGCCAGTTAATAAAGAAGACGTTGGCACAAGCAAATAATAAAGTTTCAAAATTAATTTCGAATCGTGCAACTTCAATGAAAGTAAGAAAATAAAGAGTGGAAGTTCACGCGGTTTCTCCCAACTTATAAAAGTACACGGATGTCAGGACACCATTACTTCTCACCATAAAACCTGTCATCCATCGAAGTCTGAACTAAGTGAAACAGGGCCAATGCTCTCAAAATATGGTAATCACTGACCTTACGAAAAATCAAGTGGAACAGATGGTAATCTGCTTCCCCATACAAAAGTAACGCGGGTGCTCGTCGTTTGCAGACTTTGGCCTCACTTCGGTTGTTTGGGACGAAAAGTAACTAAATATGCTCATTCAGGTATCGCTTAGGGCTGTGAATAAAGAAATTTGCAAGAAAAAAAAAAGCCATGATGCTGACCTAACAGAAATCTCCTTTAGCGGTCAGTTTAAGCTTGAGCCACACCGACACTGGCCTCCTTTATGGGTTTAATTTTAATTCCGACGAGCAGCCCCTTCGCTATTATATGAGAGTCCTCCCGCGGATTACCCACAAATATCGGCATATAAACTCGGACGATTTTGGCGGCCACCTTGTTCTTCGCATAGAGGACCAAGAAAGGAATATTAGTAACAAGGACGTCACAGGCATGTAATTGGCTTGCGAAAATCGTATACCATCTATTTTAAAGTGTGGGATCACCTACGGTATAAAATCTTAAAATCATTTCTAATATCCTTATCACTAGTTCCTTTATCTGAGATAAGATAACGACAAAAGGGCCAATGGGTATTGTCATAATCGTAATTTCAAGTTCAGACAATGATAAACTCAGAAGTCCACTCACTTTTATTTAGAAATATGCGGGAAGTGAAGATCCAAACATAATGAAGTGATGGAGAAAAAGTAGAAAGTGGCTTTAAGTAATATCCTGATGTTAATCACTGTTGCACTACGGCATAAAGTTACACAGTCAGCTAATGCACTTGCACATTTGATATCATTTATGAGCTGACGGATTTGAATATTGGCACAAGATACACGAGTGAAACGGAAAGTGATAAGTGCATCATTTGCTATCTAAACCTTGTGGAGTCAAAGTTAAATTGCAAGTCAAAATCGTGATTACTTACTCTTAGGCATATTACTGACATTACTCAATTGTTTGGTACCACGGAGAATTCACCGACAGAATTTTCTATTGAAGCGCAACGTGCACAAAAACCTCTGAATTGAAGTCTGAATCCGGCATTGTCGAAGGTTTCCCCAGCATGAACATTTCTCCAGGTCGAGACCCCTCACTCTTTCCACGTCTTTTCTCGTCTTACGTCTTGTTAGCGGTTATTACCCTGTTCTTACAGACGCTTGCATTCTACCACGTTAATGATGTAAAAATACATACATCTGAACAAGAGCTGTGATCTAGGATCACATTTTTTAAAATCGGCCTTTGGACCCTCCGTGTGGATCCAAATTTATATTGATATCGATTTTACTAAATTAGGCGCCACCGCGTTTATCATTTCGTTTTTGCGCCTCTGGTGCGGCGCTCATTCGATACACCAGCCTACCACGGACAATGTTGAACGTTGTCGAGCCATTAAGAGAGGGTCTTGTTGCGTCTTATGTCTGCATGTTGAAATGCTGTGACAAAGAATATAAAGAGTCAAATACTCAGTATTTATGCTTAAATGATTGATATACCCTGCATGTGTGACAGAAATTCACGAATCTTATGAAAAAAAAAAAAAAACGAAAAGAAACAACAAAACAAAAAACGAGCGAGATTGCATGCGAGGAAACTAAGGCCTGGTACAAATTTCCCTAAAATAGTCAAATATAAATCCCCTAGTCGTTCAAAGCTTAGCAACTTGAGCCTTAGCCTTAGAGAGAGCGTGAAAATTTACAGTTGAAATTTGCCTTCTTTCTTTGATTGTTTTTTAACTGTGGATGAACATTTGGAGAATCCAACAACAATAAATCTTTCCAGATTTGGTGAATTTCACAAACAAAGCCGTTAGTATCTACCTTGCGCTTGTGATCTTCAATTTCATCCGCGCAAATTCGGCAAAGTGATGCGAGATGTTGGACGTGAATATCCATAAGACTAAAAAAGTTGTTTTGGCCTTGAAAAGAAAAAAGGCAAAGGCTCGTACTAATGCGAAAGAAAGTAATAACACGGCTCTGTGAGAAACTCGGGAGAGGAAAACGTACGTGTTTTGGACCTCGGAATTCAAAAATTGTCTACCAAAATTCTAGGTTGTCTACCATCCCCAACATTTAACATGATAAAAGTTAATCGGTATGACAATCGAGGAAAAATATCTAGAACTTCGTAAAAAATCTGTGAATCGAAAAAATAATAGATACTTGTTCACCTACCTTAAAAAACCGACCAAAATCTCGCCTATACATCGCGTTGTTTAAAAGAAGAAATAAACCACAGAATGTGCTGAATATTTCACGAGACACTTCGAATATGGCTCCCGATACGCTGTCCACTTAAAATTGTGTACGCCTCATGAAAAGTGTTAAGAATATGCCTGAGAGCCTCGAAACGATGACTGATTCTGTCCGACTCCGTCCGCTGTTGCGAAAATTTTTGATCACTGGGGTGATGTTTTGATTTGTGTTTTGAGTAAACACAAGCGCGCCTTCTCATTGGTTGAAAAGTGTCGCGTGACCAGTTGGCCCTGTCGTTAAATTTAGGGATATTCCGGACTGATATATTATAGTGTAAAGGTGAATGTGTGAAGGATCTTCTCTCTGCAAAATGTAAATACTTCCACCAGTCACTAGACAGGGGAAACATGGTTTTCGTTAATGTTATCTGCAAAACAAAAATGTTCGTTTAGAATGCGACTGAAGTATGTCGAATGGCTTCTTCCAGGCGTTCAGACTGTGAGGGCGACCCTCAGATAGATGCGACTAGGAAAGAGGGCGAGGGGTGGGGTAGAGATTAATGCGTATTTTTCCCGACCCACTCTACTACCAAGAAAGCCAACTACTGGGAGTCGAACAAAGGACGGCCGGCCGAGACTATTAATATGAAGCTCAGTGGAGAAGTAAACTTATTCTTCTGTAAGCTTAAGCTTTTTCCGATCCGTTTTCCTGTTGATAAAGTAAAAAAAAAAAGAACAGAAAAATTGTCATTTGTAGGATCATGAATAATTTTTTTTCTATCACAGCGGCCAGTGTCAGGCAATGCAAATTCAGAATCAGTATGCAAATTTAAGTCGAATCCTTCAATTCTGTATCGCGTTGTGCCACAAGTTTTATTACATAACCTGACAAAATAGCTCTTAATCTTTAAATAAAACATGTTTTAAGGTCTAGTTTAGGTGCCACACTTGAGAATGTTTGATGTTTTTGAGGCATTTATTCGTTCATTTTTGCTTTCTTAATTGGGTTAGTGAAATAAAGACGACCAGTTTTTGCTGATCACAGAAAGATAAAGCCTAAATGGTATTGGAACAGTAAGAAGAAGTAATATGCTTCCAAATGAGTGCAAACAGTCTAGGATTTGATGACCCGAAGTACTTTTAAACGATCGTTAATTAAAAAACCTGTGAAACAGCATCTAAAATTTGCATATTTTAGCCGCTAACGGTCGTCCAGCAATGAAATGCTGACAATGGCAGTAAAATAAACAATTTCCTCATTCTAACTGCAATTTCGTCATTAGGATGGATAGTAGTTTTAACGATAAAAATATTAGGCAAACTTTTTTTCGAGTCCGAAATTGAGTGCCGGAACGCTTTTAGGGAGACTGCCTCTAAAAGCAGATCAGTGTGATCCTTTTTGCAATAAATATAACTAGAAATATGTGTATCGCAGAAACTCGCGAAGCTCGCGGGGTTGGGGAGGCCCATAAAATGTCGGGGATGGAAGGGGAGAGAAAATCGGAGTAAATTGTGTAGCTTGGGAGGGCGGGTTTCAACACTGGCTCTAATACTGGAATGTGAGATGTACTTAATTTCCTTTTGGTTGGAGTAAATTTGAACCCGGTGCTCTGTCGTTAAAAAGGATGTTCTGGGATTTAAATGGAGTTGGTGTTGTTAAGGAAGGGTAGCCGATGTTTCATAGGTCTCGTGTTCACCTCATTTGACTCTCCTACATGTGTAATGAATAGTCAAAAGAGAATGAGTGTGATAGTGAATAACTCTACGAAAGAGAGGTGAATATGCAGCTTACCCATGCCATCTTTAATAATAAGTGCGGAAGTGGAATTGACTGAGCCATAAATAGCGCCAGCTTGATTTTGGTCACTTCACGCGCGCTGTGTACTGGACGGCATTGATCGTAGAATGAAATATTTTCGAAAGCTTTTGCTTGCAATGCTCTTATCGTTGTGTATTTTACTCTTTTCTTTATTTTTTGAGAAGGAATGAGTTTTGATTTGTTGCCCACCTGAAATCAAAAATCGGTCTGCATAAAACCCTACAGGCGGCCCAAGCTCTAGCCTCCCACGCAGACGTTTCAACTTTCGACTTTCAACTTTATTCATTCAATCTCAATTTACAATTTCACGATAGCTTCCACCCGCGTATAGGAGAGCCTAATCGAGGCGGGGGAAGAGAAACAAATTTAAAGAGAGGAAAGGAAAAAAAGAAATATTTTACAAACAGTACCAGCTGTCGTGAAATAAAATTATAGTATGTATTAAGCTAATTTAATTACAATATGATTTACACAGAGAGTATAAGTTTGGTCGTGTTCCTGAGCTTGATAAATTTAAGTTGATGCATGATTTCAGTGATTTCAAGATAGTCCTCAGATTTAGATAAAATTTCAAAGAGCTCATTCCTTATCTTTTTCCGAAAGGTAGATTTTGGTAAGTTTCTCATATCTGAGGGTAAAGAATTCCAGATTTTTGGTCCAGCTCTTAGAAAAAAACTACGCATTTTTTCAAGCCTTGAGTGTTCGATAAATTAATCATCATTGATAGAAGATCGGGTAGGATATGAGTGCACCTCAGAAATCCTAGTAAAGGCTCGCTTGATATTTTCAGGTGCAGAATTGTTAGCAACGTCCCACATGATACTACAAAGACAATCAAAGTAAATAAAATATAGGGGAAATACTTTCGAATTTAAGAAAAAGGGTACAGCATGTTGCTTATAATCCGTAAAGTAAATCAGGCGTAGGGCTCGTTTTTGAATTAAGAGTATCTTATTTAAATAAGTTTAAGGTGCAGAGCCCCAAGCACCGATGCCATAATAAAGATAGGGGTTGATAAGGGCTTGATAGATATTTAAGAGGGGACGTAATGGAATATTATGTCTAAGTTTTGCTAGAATTCCCACGGTTCTACTTATCTTTAAACAGATTAGATTAATATGGTTTTTCCAGGAAAGTTCATAATCAATCAGAACACCAAGGAGTTTGACAAAATCTTTCTTTTCTGAGGTACTCAATGCATCTATAGCTGGATCATAAGCTTTGATGGAGGGATTATTTGTTAAACATTTTTACCGAGGACGGAAAAGCACGTAATTAGATTTTTTGAAATTAAGGGCTAGCTTATTGGCTAAAAGCCAGTCACTGACATTACTTAGTTCAGAATTAACTATCTGTTCAAGATTATGGAGGTTCTTGTTTACATAAATAATGCTTGTATCATCAGCAAATAAATAAAACGAAAGATGCTTTAAAGAATTTGCAATGTCATTCACATACAATAAGAATAAAAGTGGGCCCAGCACAGAGCCCTGTGGAACACCATACAAAGTTGTTTCACTATTCATGTTACTCTGAATTGTATTAACAATCTCCAGAATTACATGTTGAGTATTATGACCACCACTGAAGCCTTATTGGGAGTTAATCAATATATTGTGCTTAATAATAAATTTACTGAGTCTTTGATACATTAGTTTTTCAAATATTCTATTGAATATAGACAAAAGAGAAATAGGCCTGTAATTGCTGGCACAGGACTCATCATCATCTTTATAAACTGTCACAATCTTGGCAAGTTTTAGTTTGCTGGGGTGTTTACCTAGGATAACAGATAAATTGTAAATGTTAGCAAGTGGCTGACTAATAATGTGTTTGCAGCCTTTTAGGATTTTGACAGGACAAGAGAACATGCCATAAGACTTGTAGAGGGGCAAGGCCTGAATTTGGGCACTGATATCAGTGGGAATAATGGGTTCAAAGTTAAAAGAGTTTGGCAAACGGTTGTTAGTGAGATGCTCGTTAAGGACGTTAAGGGGATATTAAGGGGATTCGTCACGTTCGTCAAGCATTCCTTCCGAATCCCCATTAGGACGTCTGCGTGGGAGGCTACCCAAGATCTCGTGTGTAAGTGATTTCAGAAAAAAATATCCAGCACTGAAAAAAAAAATCTCTTCTGGCGTGTAATGCTGGAGAAAAATATGTTACACCGTTATATGCCAGGGAAATATATTCTCCACAGGTTTAGGAAAAAAAAATTTTCTCAGAGTAAATCACCCATACCTCCCCTCAAAAGTCAAATGGTCGACCCCTAATCATTAACGTGGGCGGTCTCAAATTACACAATCTTTTGAATGGCCTTGAACTTCAAGGATTTGAATGGGAATTTGGGTTAAATATTTAAGAGATTTTTCATGAAATACACCTTTCCACTAAAGAAGACAGTCGGTTGAACAGCACACACCTCCCTCGAAGACTGTGCAGCGGCATCCTGGCGACCTGCCATGTTCTATATGTTGTCGACGTCTAGTTTGTCGGGAGTGGAGAAGGTCTCCCCAGTCCACTCCACTGGGAAGTCTTTCGACCGACTCTCGACCACAATTTGCTCGGGGGTGGGCCAGGTTAATTGAGCCCACGATCTCCATTGGTCGCTGACCAGCGGGTAAAAGTTCAATTCCAAAAGTTGAATGTCGAATGCGAAAAATTGCAAGTACAATGCCCAAAGTCGGATGTCGGAAGCGAAAACTTAAAGGACAAAGGCTAAATGATGGATGCGAAAAAATTAATGTACATTCCACTGAACTTGAAGGTCGAATTCGAAAACTTGACTGTTGATTATGAAAAAGTTGAATGTCGAAAGCAAAAACTGGAATGTTGCATAAATCGAAGTTGAATGCTGAATGCAAAAAAATTGAATCGCGAGTGCAAACTTCAATGACAAACACAAAATGTAAGATAGATTGTGCAAAGTACAATGTAAAATGGAACATTGAATTTTGGCAGAAATGGAACGCCCAAAATACCCTAGTGACAGAATTGAGCCGACTTTCATAAACGAGCGAATATATTGACAATCTTCCACTTAAACTTCACAAAATAGATATCTAACAATTTCTAAACGGCAAATTTTGTAGATTTAGAGAATAAAATATCGACGATCGAGCACAATTTTGAAACGCAATTTGCATAATGCTTATAAATACAACAATTTACCGCTAAAACCAAAATCGAATTTTCTTTGTGGGGGAATTCTCCACATCACCCCAAATCCCAGTTACTACCCAATGAAATATAGTACTTGATCATTATCGGAAAGTTAGTCTGGTTTTGTGGCGAACGCTTTTAAAATAGATTGATTATTTTGAGGTTATTTTGCTCCAAACAACTGCTAATTGACCCAAGGTCAATTGACAGTTGGCCTTAGTTTTGAGCTCGTTAAAAGGGAGAAACTAACAAGATTCTTTTTATAAGTACATGTTTTAATGAAACGCAACCAATAATCAAAAGGAGAGGCCGTTCAATGGGTAATTTCTGTTCTTGAGATTGGAGCATGGCGTCTGCGAGCGTACCTGAGTAGGTCTATTTTCCCGTGACTGCGAAATCAGAATGACATCAAGAAATAATCTTCGCTCGAATCTTCGTAAATGAATCAGCTTTGCAGTGCCTTACCTGAGATAAAAAGTGGGGCGAGTAGGAAAACATTCTAGCGCAATTTGGATCCTCTGCAGAACGCAGTGTATTGCTGAGCGGAGACGGTGGTGAGTAAACAAACCTGGGAAAGTACTTTACCTTTGATTGCGTGACCAGCCAGTAAACGATACTTTACGTTCGGGATGGGATTCCTTATAAGATTCCTTATCGCCCAAGGCCTGATCTCGATACCTCTTCTACCGAGTCATGTGTTATCAAAATAACTTGGCCTAAATGCAAAAATCTGTTGATTTGGACTATCTGTCGCGCGCCTGACCGGAATATTGAGTCACTTATTCAAGATCTGGACATTTCATTATCGGGAGCTTCTGGAGCTTCAGAGAAGGACGGTAAAGTACAAATTGCTATCATTTTAAACTGTGCAGGCCCTCATGTTCTCGAGGTGTGCGATACTTTTATTTGGACAGATGATGGCAATAAAGATAAACCCGATAAAGTTTTAGAAGCGTTGGAAAGATACTGTAACCCGCGTGACAATGTAGTCATCGAATCTCATAGATTCTGGAACATTCCATACCAGGAACCGTTTGAAAAATTTTTCACGGAGCTAAAAACGAGAGTAGCAGCGTGCAATTTCTGGAAAAAGATCGGATGTTTGAGAGAAAAAATAGTTTTTACTGTGACTGGAAAACTTCAAGAATTACTATTACTCCTCAGGGAAGGCAATTTGACACTCGACAAAGCAGTGAAAACTTGTAGAGCGTTCGAACAGTCAAATAGACAAGTCAAGGAATTCAGAGAAAGTGCAACCCTCCCAAGTTCTTTTACAAGTGTGAACAAAATAACTCAAAACTCTGAAACTAAAACGCCCGGTGGTAATAAAGGTTCCCAAATGAACAAAACCCCACTCAAAGGGAAAGAAAAGTTAAAATTCAACTGTAAATTTTGTGGATACAAACATGAGAAACAAAGAGACAAATGTCCTGCTTGGGGCAAGGCATGTGACAACTGCAAAGGTCTTAACCACTTCAAGTCTAAATGCAAAAATATTCATGCACTCAACCAGTCCAATGGTAATGGGGAAGATTCTGATGATCAATGGCTCATGGCTGTAAACAATGGGACAGACCGTGTTACTGCCACACTTACTATAAATGATATTGATGTCAAATTCCAACTTGACGCATGTTAGACAACACCAAGTGTCTCCTACAACTGTGCGCCTTAACATGTGGAATAAAACTAACCTGAAACCTCTGGGAGAAATGCGCCTGAAAGTTAAAAATCCTCGCACTAGTTCTCAATCAGAAATATAGTTTATCGTGGTCCCAAATGGTTTTACAAACCTGTTAGGTCTGAACACTATTCAGGAACTTGGTTTTATAACCATAAATAAAGAATGTTTTATCTCGCAAGTATCAACCCCACAACTTGGTGATCTGGGCGAAGCCCCACGCAGAATTGATGAAAGTGTTCCTCCCAAAGTACTGCCTTGTAGGAAAGTTCCTATTGCCATTCAAGACGCAGTAAAGGAAGAACTAGATCGACTTTTTAACAAAGGCGTACTGGTTCCAGTGACTGAACCAACTGAATGGGTCAGTCAAATGACAGTTGTACATAAACCCAGTGGTAAATTGCGCATTTGTAGTGATCCTCAACCCCTAAATGCTGCACTCAAGCGTGAACATTACCGATTACCTGTGCTCGATGATGTGCTTCACAAGCTTAAAGATGTGAAGATCTTTAGCAAACCTGATGTAAAAGAAGCATATTGGCATGTTCGACTTGATGAAGCATCCAGAAAACTCACCACAATGATTACACCTTTTGGTTGCTACATGTGGAAGAGGCTACCCGTTGGCCTCAAAGTTTCAATTGAAATTTTCCAGCGCAAGATTGATGAAGCGCTAAGTGATCTCGATGGTGTATTCAATATAGTGGATGATGTAGTCATTGTAGGGTGTGGCAACTCAGATGCTGAAGCTCAGAGTGACAACCAGCAAAAACTAGCAGTGACATTGAAAAGGTGTGCTGAGAAGAAAATTATCCTAAACGAGGATAAGCAGCAAACTGGTCTGGATGAGATCATATTCCATGGACACAGAATCACGAAAGACGGTGTGAAAGTTAATGAAGCTAAAGTGCAAGCAATCCGAGACATGCCAGCACCCACTGATGTGGAAGGTGTGAAGCGCCTTTGTGGCATGGCTCAGCACATGGCAAAGTTCTTACCCAACCTTGCAGCGACGCTTGAACCAATCCGTGCTCTAACTAGAAAGGACACCCCATTTCAATGTATGGTCGAAAGAATGTGAAGATGCTTTCAACACGCTCAAGAAAAATCTGTCTGAGTCTCCTTGCTTAGCTTACTTTGAACCCTCGAAAGAAGTAGTAATTCAAGCTGACAGTAGCAAACATGGAATTGGTGCTGTGCTACTCCAAGAAGGGCGTCCTATTGAGTATGCATCTAGAGCATTGACCCCTTCAGAACGAAATTTGGCACAGATAGAGAAAGAAGCTTTGGCTGTCCTGTATGGCCTTGAACGATTTGATCAGTATGCTTAAGGTCGTGCAGTAACAGTACAGAATGACCACAAACCTCTTGCTGCTATACTGCGCAAGCCGCTGAGCATGGCTGCAAAGCGTCTTCAAGACATCATGATGCGTTATAACCGGTATGATGTCAACTTTTGTGTTTGTGAAAGGCACTAGTCTACACATTGCTGACACCTTAAGTAGAGCTCATTTAGACTCTACTGAAAGTAACCAGGACGACCGTGCACGAATCATGAACATCTATGCCTTTGCTGAAATCCCAGATAAGCGTCTGGACGAGATAAGAGAAGCAACTTTTCGCGACACTAGCCTACAAACCATTAGCAAGTTAGTCTTGGATGGATGGCCTCAAGAAAAGCACAATATTCCCCCTCAAGCCTTACCTTATTTTGACATGCGTGACTCTCTCAGTATAGTAGATAACATCTTAGTAAAAGGAGAAGCACTAGTAATTCCGTCTGAACTGAGAGCATTTATCAAGAAAAGACTCCATAGTGCACATCTAGGTTGTGAAAGCATGAAGCGTCGAGCTAGAGGCATTGTTTTCTGGCCTGGTATGATCCATGATATTAAACAGTTAGCCGATTCGTGTGAAACCTGCCAAGAAATGAAGCCACAAAACACTCAAAAAGCATTGAAACAACTCAACGAAGGCGATGGACCTTGGAAAAAGATTGGTTTGGATTTCTTTGAAATCGCAGGAAAGCACCACTTGATTGTGATGGACTATTACTCTAATTTCATAGAGATTGATCTGCTGACAAGCCAAACGAGCACCCGTACCATAACTCTTCTCAAGAAACATTTTGCGCGGTACGGCATACCAAGAGTAATCGTGTCAGATGGAGGTCCTCAATTTACCTGTCAACAGTTTAACTCATTCATGACAAGCTGGAGTATTTCCCATCATACATCATCACCCATGCATCAACGTGCAAACGGCAAAGCAGAGTCCGCCGTGAAGATTATGAAATCCTTGCTAATCAAAACTTACAAGGATGGTGGTGATCCCTATGAAGCCATACTTAAACAACGAAATACCCCTCGTCAGGACACTGCCTTGAGTCCAGCACAAATGATATTTAACGGCAAAACACGTAGTTTCTTACCAAGCTTAAGCAGTAACCCAAAGAACACTCTCGTGAAAGGAAAACGTGAATTAAGCGCGAAAACGCAGCGTGAAAACATATCACGATCGGAAATCAAGCAAACTCTCAGTTATTGAGATTGGACAGTCAGTATTCCACCGACACACAGAAGGTCAGAACTGGAAGTGGGGCAAAGTAACTGAAAGTTTAGGCCCTTATACGTACCAAGTGGAAGGTGCCGATAGCGGCAAGTACAGAAGAAACCGTGTGCATCTAAGACCCACCAAAGTAGTACGAACTCCTCGCCATATGTCTCATATCGTTTTGTCTCGTACTCCTGACCAAGCTTTAACTTCAGGCGTGCCTACAGTTCCTCAAACTCCAACCACTGGCGCTGAAGCCAAAGAAAGTCATTCGCATAGTAAGGCAACTACTCCTATTAAGAGTCCCGCACCAGATAGGCCTAAACGTGAAAGCAAATTACCTATTCGTTTTAAGAACTATGTACTTAAGTAGAGACTGTTTCTGATCAGTTGAACTGCTTTATTTAGGAACTTTGCTTACTAAAGATACTGTTTGCGTTTCTTGTTATTGTTATTTAAGTGGACATCTTCAGTGAAAAATTCTGTTTTCATATTTAGTTGCTTAGAAACTCTATTGTTATTTTCCTAAAGAAGAAGGGATGTTGATTGATAGTATATTGTAGCGCACATGAAGTATGTTTCTAGTTCCCATGATCCTTCACTTAGAACAATGTGCTGTTGCAAAGGCGGTTCAGGAGTAAACCCATGTTGTTGTGTTCTACTCTTGTCGTGTTCCTCATTCTCCACTCTAACAAATCAACAGTCACGTTACAAGAAGCTTAAAAACTATGTAAACAAAGAAATGCAAAAGTGCAAAGCGGAGTACTACTGAAACCTAATATCGGAAAACAAGAGAAATCCAAGTGCATTGTGGAAAACCTTGAATGAAATCACATCACGTAAACAGAGCTACCCAGTTTCTTGTATCGAAGCCGATGGCATAGCACATTGTGATAATCCATCTATCGCCAAGATCCTAAACGTTCACTTGTCTACAATTGGTTCAAAGCTCGCAATGAAACTAAAATCCGTCTTTACCTTACCATCTCCTCCTGCAAGCTCAACTGATTTGCCAAAGTTTGTTTTCAAACCAATCACCGAAGAGTTCGTACGCGGTCAACTTAAACAACTCAGAAAATTGGCCTAGACAATATCAGTGATCGTCTTCTGAAAGACTGGGCTAATGTAATTAGTAAAAGTCTCACAAAATTGTTTAATCGATCATTGGTCACTGGTACCTTCCCTTCCTTATGGAAGTTTGGAAAGGTATCCGCCCTCTTCAAAAAAGGCGATCGCTTTCGACCCAAACAATTACAGGCCAATAACAGTGTTACCTACGTTGAGCAAGATTCTGGAGAAGGCGGTACACAACCAACTCTACTATTTTCTCAATGAAAACAAGATCATTACCTCCAAGCAATTTGGTTCTCGACCTAAGCTATCAACTAATACAGCCTTGACACAGTTTACAGATAACGTACTTCTGAACATGGACTCTGGTCGTCTTACAGGGGCTATTTTCTTGGATCTCTCGAAAGCGTTCGACACAGTTGACAACGACCTTTTACTTCATAAGCTTAAATCGGTCGGACTCTCAGATGACACTGTTAATTGGTTCGAGTCATACCTCACGAACAGAAAACAAAGGACGTCTGTTGGAGATACACTCTCTGTCACTGTACCAATAACTGTTGGGGTCCCAAAAGGAAGTATATTAGGACCGCTTCTTTCTCTTATCTATGTGAATGATTTACCATAGTGTCAGTTTGCCAGTGGAATTATTTTTTACGCTCATGACTGTGATTTATTACTCATCGACTGATCTGTTTGACCTCGAAAGCAAGTTAAATTCTGATTTGTCTACATTTTCCAATTGGTTTTCGAGTAATCTGTTGATCCTAAATATTTCTAAATGCAATTTCGTAATTTTTGGTAACTCACGGAAGCTTAGACTGGTTAATGACGTTTCTCTTAAAGTAAATTGCACTGCTATTGAAAAGTCTGACTCGTTTAAGTACTTGCGAGTTGTTATAAACCACACTATCGGTTCAAAGATCAATCAAAGGATTGGAATGATAAAGAGAAAACGACATCTTTGGCCTTTACATGCTAAGCTAACAAGGTTCTGCTTAATTTACCACCAAGAAGTTCATCAACCGAGGCACTAGATCGATTGGACCTAAAGACCCTCTCAAAAAGACTACACTTCCATCGGTGTGTTATGATGCAAAAATGTTAAATTTGACATCGACGAAATAGTAGTGTTCATTCTTATCAAACTCGCAGAAGCAATGACTTACACCTTCCTCGCGTGTGCACTAATTGGGGCAAGCAAACTTTCGTTTGTCAAGCCTCTAAGGACTGGAACAAACTAGACAATGACATTGAAAACAGCAAAACATTCTCCTTCTTTAAGGCAAAGCTTAAAACTTTGTAAATAATGCCCTATCTAATTGCCAATCTATGTTATATGTAAATATCAATTTTAATCTCTTTTTTTAGTTTTTAATTTTTATAGTAGGTGATTTTGTTGTTGTTGTTGTTGTCATTTTGTCATTTATGATTTGCACGGCCTCACCGAAAACCCCTAAGGCGAGTGGGCTCCCTGGATAAATATTATTATTATTATTATTAATATTATAGTCTCCAGCGAAAAATAGAATTTGCAAAACTCTTTCTGAAGTATATTTAACCGTTTGTTACTATAATTAACACCTGCTTTGTGTTAAACTTTGAACAATGCATACCTGTCCAAGAGTGTAAGAATTTTTCGAAATATCCACACCTAAATACAATGAGGGCTACTCCTTTTTCTCCCTCCCCGATGTCCACTTCCTTCCCAGTGTCTTTTGCACGAGGCTGGCCTGGGTTAAGCACTTGACTGACCATAAAAACCTCCGCGAACATACGCTAACATTGTTGGTCTTTGCAAGCTTTAAGATTACTCCACCCACACCCCACCAACCCCCCCCGCTTTTCCGATGGAACAATCCCTGAGCCCCAAAAGCGTAAAACATCTACGGCCTCGTAGAAAACGTTATTCGAGTAAAAAGACGGGAGACCATGCTGAACTGGCACGTAGAGCACTCTCTCAGATGACTATCTCGGAGTGACCACACACCGTTCCGCGATAGCTTGCCCTCTAAAGCCCAAAAATGTTGGTGAAATCTCTCGAAATGTGCTCGGGTCTAAGACATAAGTAGTAGACTAGGGTCAAAGATAAGCCCCGTTGGTGGATTCCCTTTGGATTCCCTCGCAAAAAGTGGATTCCCTTTATTGATATTTATAAGTGTCTTCCTGCATAATGATTAAGTGCCTTCCTCCATATATAATGAAGTGGATAGGTTTACTAATGAGCATCTCTCTACTACAATAGAAACAATAAGCTTGCCTAGACTTGCCCGGTAAGTAACTTGAGCCCGGTTTTCGGACCGTCTATTAAAAGGAAAATAAGAATAAGAGAAGCGATCACCTAGCAACGCGAGAAGCAGCTTCCTATATCTTATTTAGCGCTAAAACTCAGATATACATAAACAAAAAAAAAACAGAAAGTGGAGTTGAAAAGCCTTTATTTCAATTTAGTTTACGTCTTCTTATTTAGCGCTAAAACCCGGATATATATAAACAAAACATACACAAATTGGAGCTGAAAACTCTGATCTTTATTTCAAGTTTTTCTGACATTTTCTCCTTTCTATCTCGAGGAAATGAAAGTGTTGTCATTTTCACGCGCTGTTAATCAGTTAATTATGCGAGTTCACAAGCCCAAAGTTGAATACAAATTAGCTCTACAAGAAAAACCTCAAGGGAGCAACCTTGACATATTATTTTAAAACAAATAACTTAACAAGCATCAATTAAAACACGCGACTCATAATTGCTAGCAATAAAAAGACAAGAGAGATACCGTTTTAAACAACTTTATTAAAAACAAAAAGAGTCAAATACACAGGAATGGAAATTAATTAATCTTCATCTCCGTTCTCCTCTGTAGAAGGGGAATAGAAATTGGTTTCCAACGTCTTCGCGTTTTTGTGTGTAACTGCTCCGCAATCTTGACACCGAAGAAAGCCCTCTTTCATGTAATGTCTCCCCTCGGGAATCTGGTGATCGCATATAGGACAAATCTTGTAGTAATCGTGCCAAAGGCATTTAGGACATTTCATGATCAATGTCCCGTACACATTAGAGTTTTCGCAGTGTTCACAGGGACTTTTGGAGTGAAAGGTGGTGGACGTTTCAGGGTTACTACTTTCTATCTCCTGACTGTCGTTTTCAGTGTCGTTGTCGCTCTCTTGGGTGTCTTCCGCTTCAACGCCATTCTCAGAAGCCACTTCCTCCTCCTCCTCCTGATTTTCAATATCCGATGAACTCTCCTCATTATTACTCTCGTTTTCGGAAGTATTTTCTACATTTTGGTAGCCTTTTTCCTTTTCTTTTAAATCACTTAACAACTTGTTGTTCTTGATTAAACCTTTATCGATTCCTAACTCTGCAAGTCCATCTAGAAACGTATTCAGAGCACGAGGCTTGGTAACCTCATTGTTATGAGGGAGTAACACATACTCAACTAGCTCAGCGATGTTTGTGACGGGAATAGTGCGTTTATTTCGAAGTAATTGTCCGCTGGGGGTCCAGAAAAGAATATCTTTGGACGCAGCCATACTATGCAGCAAATCAGAAGCACGCTTTTCCGGCACTGCTCGGGAAAGATGACTCAAAACATCTTTTATTCTCGGTTCTTCTTTTATTCTTGGTTCTTCATCCTCGCTTTGATCACCAGAACTTTCGCTTTCTTCATGTTCACTCTCGTGATCTTCTTCTTCAACCAAATCTATCTTTCTCTTCATTTTTGATGAGCACCCGTGACAGACTTAGCTTCGAATGATCAACCTAGCGATGTGTCACCACTTTTATAGCATTAGAAATCATAAGCTTGAAACGACAGGGGCTAATACATCTTCAATAAAACCACTACCCTCTTGAACAAGGACTCGCTTCTTTGTTTTGAAAGGGATATTTGGACTGGCCAGGTTAAGTAAAGCATCCTTATATGGCAGCAATACCCGGTTATTTCCTTCGGAGATAGGAATGTGTCCCATGAGTAAATTGTATAAGACTTGGACTAGTGCATGAAGTTGCTGTGGTGTAGCTGTCTTTAAAAGAAACTGCCGCTGATAAGCGGGGCAAGCGGCTAACAGCTGAAGAAAACCACGATTGTTGTTCACTACACGAGACATTGCTACAAAATGAACTAAGAATGGCAGTTGGTAGTCTTTTATGGAATCTGGTGGAGGGAAAACAATAGAAATGTGGTGGCGGCGGTGGTGTTGGTGGAGGGAAAACAATAGAAATGTGGTGGTGGTGGTGGTGGTGGAGGGAAAACAATAGAAATGTGGTGGTGGTGGTGGTGGTGGTGGAGGGAAAGCAATAGAAATGTGGTGGTGGTGGTGGCGGTGGTGGAGGAAAGAAAACAATAGAAATGTGGTGGTGGTGGTAGTGGTGGTCTTGGGGGAGGAAAACAGTAGAATCTTGTGGCCTGAAAACCTATATAAATGCGCAACATTCTACCTCCTTCTCAGTCTACATTTTGCTCCTGAAGAGTTGACATGAGATGGTTCTGTTCTGTCTGCGAAAAATCCTTTAGTAGAAAAGATAGTATGCAAAGGCACGTGATGTCTAAACACCGCAATGCTGGTCTCACCCCATTTCAAACAGTTCCAATATTTTCACAGAAATGTCAGCGGTTTCGCTTCGAGCATCCTTTCACCTCCATGATTGCCGGAATGACCGGGTCCGGAAAAACGGCATGGGTTCGATCGCTATTGCAACAAGCTTCAGAGACCATTTACCCTCCCCCGGAGAGGATCGTTTGGTGTTATTCACAATGGCAGCCTGCGTATACACAAATGTTAGTCGCCATGCCAAACATTAAATTCGTCAAGGGAATTCCTACGGCTTTGGAGCAGGATTCCTATTTTGATGAAAACAAACGGAATTTGATCGTGTTTGATGATCAGATGATTGACGCCAGTAAAGACAAGCGAATTGTGAACCTCTTTACTCGTGGTTCTCATCATGGCAATCTGAGCGTGATTTATATCGTGCAGAATCTATTTCATCAGGGGAAAGGTAGCCGCAGCATAAGCCTAAACATCCATTATCTGGTGTTGTTCAAGAATCCACGAGACAAATTGCAAATCCTGACTCTGGCGAAGCAAATGTATCCCGGTCAGACTGATTTCTTTTTAAATCAGTACGAAGAGGCTGTAAAAAGACCTTTTGGTTATCTTCTGATTGATCTGAAAACTACTACCCAAGATAATTGTCGGTTGCGAACAAACGTCCTGCCCAGAGAAGAAGGCTTTAACCAAGCAGGGTTTCAAGAAAATATTCCTCAAGAGCTCCTAAAATATCTGAAGCAGCAAACTCTTTCGCCTGTCCCACTTCTTCCAGCTATGCAAGAAATACAGGCAACATGGATGACGTGCTTTCTCGAAACGATCTTCGGGACGATGAAAAAGCTAAGCGATACGTTCAGTTGCAAAACAAATACCTGGCTTTTAAACAGCAATTAAATACAAGAACACGACCGGAAGAAATAATCAGTACAGTTCCAGATTTAGCATCAAGGACACAAGATTCTTCGACAGCAACGACAGCATTCTCCATTCCCCTCAACCCCTTTAATGTAACACCTGAATTAACACAAGCTGACAAACAAAGCCTCACCCCTCCACCACCCTTAAATCCTGCTTTCCTGACCCCTCCTCCCACAGTAGAAACCCCTTCACGACAAGGCCCGAAGCGCAAAAGGCGTCGGATTCAATTTCTAAATGATTTGGATGATCATACATCTCATGGCAAACAGCTGAAGAAACGTCGGCATAAGAAATTCAAACCTTACAAGTACTCCATGGCGAAGATGAAGATTAATTAATTTCCATTCCGGTGTATTTGACTCTTTTTGTCACTGGTTTTCAATAAAGTTTTTAAAACTGTATCTCGTGTCTTGTCAATTTATTTGTCGCGTGTTTAAATTGATCCTTGTTAAGTTATTAATTGTTTGTGTTTGTACAATAATAAATCAAGGTGCTCCCTTGGGTCTAGCTGTAGAGATGAACTAATTTGTATTCAAGTTTGGGCTCGTGAACTCGCATAATTAACCGATTAACAGTGCGTGGAAATGACAAGACTTCAATAGTTTTTCATTTCCTCGAGATAGAAAGGAGAAAACAATTCTGTAATAGTCAGACAAACTTGAAATAAAGCGTTTTCAGCTCCAATTTAAGTATGTTTTGTCTACAGTTTTTAGCGCTAAATAAGATATAGGAAGCCGTTTCTCGCGATGCTAGGTGATCGCTTCTCTTATTCTTATTTTCCTTTTAATAGACGGTCCGAAAACCGGGCTCAAGTTACTTACCGGGCAAGTCTAGGCAAGCCTATTGTTTCTATTGTAGTACTAGAGAGATGCTCATTAGTAAACCTATCCACTTCATTATATATGGAGGAAGGCACTTAATTATTATGCAGGAAGACACTTATACATATCAATAAAGGGAATCCACTTTTTGCGAGGGAATCCAAAGGGAATCCACCAACGGGGCTTATCTTTGACCCTAGTCTACTACTGACATAAGTACTAAGAAAGGGACGGTCTCAATAGCAACCCCTGGACAAACTGGGCATGTTTGAATCGTAACCATTGTGTCGCGATGTAGCGTTTTAAATCTGGGGTTCTTGCTGTTCTGTCGTTCAAACCATTTAAGCTATAAAAACACACCTTCCGCTGGAGTTGTTGATTGATAGAAACAAAAACAGAGCATACGCAAGCACATGCATCACATCAAATGGCTTTGTGTGCGACTCATTCTCGTACTCAAGGCTTCTTCGCTTGTAACCTCCCAGAATCAGCTCTGGTAGCAATCGTTTTTGCCTCGTCAAATTCTCAAATAGTGCACGCACGCGTATTTTAAATGGGTATATGATTATGAATTACTTTAGCGCCCTCTGAATAACAAAGAAACCTTAGATTTTCGTTAATTCAAACTCTGCCTCCGATTTGTGCTACCAATAGCTAATTCTTAGGCATATGATATTCCACGCATGGGTTTATGGCTGTTACCAGAACCTTCCCCCACTAGGACTGCTAGAACCTTCTGCTAGGTCGGGAGTGAGGGAGTTCTGGATACGAGAATACGCGTGCAGGCCGAGCTACGAGAATAATGCTTCCCCCTTGTGCACGACGCTTTTAAACAGTTTATATCTTACAGCAAAAATACTGCTTTAGGAAGTTCTCAAGTTTTGACGTTTTATCGGTGATGTGCTCTGTGTCGATAAGAGTTTGGATTTGGTCGGACATCAGTGGAAAAGGATTGTAACTCTCATAATAGATCGGGTTGGTAGAAGGTACACTTAGTCTAGCCATCACGTGATTCCTTAGGTCACCGAACGCTGGTAATTGCCTCTTCGTCATCCTTCTCCTACTCAGTCGTCATCAGAAACATCCGGCGCATGCAAGTGGACGCTTGGGCTCCTCATGAGGAGCCTATAGAGAACATATGCTTGGCAGTCTCATCTCTAGGTGATCACTGACCTTAAGGCTTGCGCTATACTTGTCTTCTGTCGCAGGGGCAACCGTTAAGGCCAGGTACGCCACCCCCACCCGCGAGGACTGCATGGCATCCACCATTTGACTTGCAGTTTCCACATCATGGCCTTCACTTATCGTGAATTCTTATACGGGCCTTGATCGTTGCCACCTTCCCGAAGTCTAATCGTCGCACTGTTAGACCATGAGAATCTATATTATTCCTAAAATGCACCATTGACTTTCCTTTGTTTAGCCTCCGGTAAACTGATGCCCCGAAGAAAAGATAGTTCTAACGACTCTATCCAGGCCAGATATTCAACTCCTGATATCAACAATTAGTAAAATCCAACTAGTGGTCTATTATCGTTGCTGCATTCTGATTAGTTGAGCTACTACCAGGCTATATGTTATAGCCAACTAGTATCGAAAAGCGCCGGCTTTTTGGCGGCAAAAAAGGGTTAAAGTTTAGCTTTAACTAGCTAAAGTTGTTTTGTCTCGATATTTTTGAACAACTAGTTGGATTTTACTAAAACAATTATTCCTTTCGCCCTCATGGCCTCTGAGACAATAGCCCTTTCGGCCTTCGGCCTCATGGGCTATTGACTCACACCCCATTGGGCTGGAGGAATAATTGTTAAACATAACCCACCCCCATAAAGAGAGCAAGCTTTCAACGAACTATTCATTTGACCCACCCCATTTCTTCGTTAAGAAAAACTACGACCTCAGTGCAGTGCGACAAAATGCGCTCGTGAATATACCAAAGATATAGCTTTCATCCTACATTCAGCAATCTCAGTTTCGGCAGGCGTGGCCACATTTCCAGTTACTGAAGGTGAATTCGACACCTGCAACACACACCTGTAAGTTAAATAGCAGCCACAACGCCCTACTTTGAAACCGTGACGAGACATTTATAAACTAGACTAAACTGCTATTAGTAATCAATCGCTCCTGAGCCGACAGGCACAAGGATACCAGTTTCTTGCAAAGTATGCTGTGACATCCGCTGATTGGGTTCGGTGCTGTCCTTTGAAATAACGTTAGGAACAAAACATGACAAGTGAGAGGCGTTTCTAGCCAAGTGCATGTGACTCTCGGTGTTGAAGACATATACTAAGCTTGTCAGTACATCATAGTCTGTACCACGTCGCGAAAATGAAACAAGCCAAAGAAAAATAAGACGCCTTTCTCTCCCCAGCCCCCTCAGGTTTTTCGCATTACTTTTTACTGCACAACTGTTTTACTATCTTGGATTCTTCCTTTACGAGCCGGAGAGAACGTAGACGCCCTTGGGAAAATTTTCACTTCATTTTCGGCACCTGACTTAACGCAAGCGCTGACTTGTGCGCCTATACTTCGTTTGCGCTGAAGTAGCGGTGTATGATTACAACAGACTTGCTGCTATCCTTGGTTTGAAATGGCAATGGGCAAGAACATTTTCATGAAAAGAGCAAACTGTTTCCTTCTTAGCAGCCATGGAGAATAACTAGTAGGACTCAAGCAATGCTTTCTTTTTAAAATGATTTACGGCTAAACAGTACAAATTCATGTAGCTTTTACGCAAATTTAAATACTTAGTTGTTTCCCGAATTGCATTTAACAACAAATTATAGAAATTCAACTTAGTTTGGATCTCATAGATAAGAACTGAACGGAAAATCTTTTAGGGTAAAAAAGTTGAAGTCTATTGAATTTGCAAAATGTTTACTGAAAAATCACTTAGTGGAAATACAATAGCAGAGGTATCATGCCTGCAATTTTCTATGCAATGCACCTTATGAGAAGTCTGCCTAGTCCATTTGTAGCCCTAAAACCGCCTTAAACCTTAAAATTTAATTCATTTTCCTTTCATGTGTAGTGCAAATACATCTTCTGAACACTTCGGGGGTGGGGGTAAAGTCAGGAGCACAGAACATTCAGTTACTGTACCATTTTTAAAAGTGGGACGGTATGTTTGCTAACCATCTTAGTTAACCAAAGGACAGTTGCATATACAGGAAAATAAATTTACTGTTTCCCGAGAGCTTTAGTTTCCCGTGCACTTATTTTTCGCGGGAGACAATCGGTAATTGCCTGGTCACGTAATCGGAGGTATCAATAACTTTACCGGGTTTGGTTACGCACCATCGCCGCTTAGCAAATACTCCGCGTGCTGCAAAGGATCCAAATTGTGCTAGATTGTTTTCCTACTCGGCCCAGTTTTTATCTCAGCTAAGGCATGCAAAGCTGATTCATTCACGAAGATTCGAGCGAAGATTATTTCTTGATGTCATTCTGATTTTGCAGTCACGGGAAAATAGACCTAGACTCAGGTACGCTTGTAGAAGCCATGCTCTAATCTCCAAGATCTCAAGAACAGAAAATACCCATTGAATCGTCTCTCCTTTTGAATATTGCTTGAATTTTATTAAAACAGGTACTTGTAAAAAGAATCTTGTTAGTTTCTCCTTTTTAACAAGGTCAAAACTAAGGTGACGTGCGCCGCGTGTCAATTGACCCTGGGGTCAATTCGCAGTTGTTTGGAGCAAAATAACCTGAAAATAAGCAATCTATTTTACAAGCGTTCACCAGAAAGCCAGACCAACTTTCAGATAATGTTCAAGTACTATATCTCATTGGGTAGTAACCAGGATTTGGGGTGATTTGGAGAATTCCCCCATAAAGAAAATTCGATTTTGGTTTTAGCGGTAAATTGTTGTATTTATAAGCATTATGCAAATTGCGTTTCAAAATTGTGCTCGTTCGTCAATATTTTATTCTCTAAATCTACAAAACTTGCCGTTTAGAAATTGTTAGATATCTGTTTTGTGAAATTTAAGTGGAAGATTGTCAATATGTTCGCTCGTTTATGATCGTTTATGAAAGTCGGCTCAATTCTGTCACTGGGCTATTTTCCCTTGTTCGGGGGCTAATTTTAGTCCCGAAGACCGGGGGAAGGGGAGGGTGGGGGTTTTCAGAAAAGTGTGGTGTATCAAAACTTCCCCCCCCCCAAAAAAAAAAATTACATATGAAAATTGTACCGCCCCCCTGGCAAAAACAATTTTTAAAATGCACCCCCTCCAACCCCTTCTAGACCAAGTCTTTGTTTTCATCCTTGGGCATTGATTTCATAAGCTATAAGATACTGGTGGTTGGCAGCGTAACGTGAGATTTTGAATGTGCACGCAGGAGAATAAACGTTAGAGTGCCGAAGGCGCCCCAAACCTATTTTCTCTATTTTACCCATATATATCTAGTGTTATCGGTAAGGTACAGACTGTTTACGGCATCAAGGGCGTTACAAGCAAAGGGAAAGATGTGTACCCTTCAGACGGGCAAATTCTGTTATAATGCCATCAATATCAATTACGTCCTTGTGCTTGTGTGTATGTGCAGAATTGCAAGAGAGCTCAATCTCTCGTCCGTCACGGTCCTTCGTAAAGGAGTTTGCAGTATCCTCATACCGCAGAAGCTACGCTCAGCTCAGTGCACATGATAAGTCAACAAAGTTATGAGAGCTACATTGTACTCCGGGTTAGAATTATAGTTGGCGTGGTTAAAAGTCTCAACCAAGGTCTGTGGCTTCACAATCGGATCCATGTCACTCCAAAGCAAATTTTTTTTGTCTGCTTCTGAAGGAAACGTGGAGTTGCTTTAATCATAATATAGTTTGACAACTTTAACATAGAAGGCCAGCCCTATGTCTTAATATTTCGACCTCCCTCTCATTTTGTGCATTTGCAAAATTGATCCCCCAGAATCAAGCCTCTTGGAAAATTGTACCCCCCCCCCCTCCAACCCTCCTTCCCCCGGGACGTAATAAACGATCGGCCCCTTAAAGCGCGAATTCACTGGTTAATAGCGGAGCTCCGTGACCGACCGACCGACCGTCCGTCGGCACCACAGGCATACCAATGTTTACTCTCACATTTTCTAGCTACTTTGGGAGCCCAGGAGAAAGCTGATTGCACATCAATGTTGTCATCAATTGACAGCTGTCAAAACCGGGCATCCGCTGACCAGTATCACCCGACCGTATCGCGGGCTCAGGTGTCGACCCATCAAGGTCGAGTATTTGTTGAAGTTATCCGCTGACAATTTACTTTGTTTCAAATGATCGCAGGCTCACGTTTACCTTTTTTTTTTAAATTCATATCAAATATGTTGTGTTTATATCAGTATCGCCCCGCACTATTACGATTTCGGTTTCAAACTAACCTCAGACGCACAAATTCAGCCAGTTTTTTTAAAATACAGGCGGGGAAGACCTTTCCTTACCATGGTTACGTGTTGGTCACGCCCCACGTCCAATTTTTATGCTCTGATTGGTCAAAATTTGACAGGTGAGTTCATGCGTAAAATTTATGCAGCATCTTGAAAGTTGTTTACTTTGACAGCTGAAGCTGACAGAGTTTTGAGTCAACTTGTGATGTTTTTAACTCTCTTTTTCCACTGGATGTACAAAATGAAATACAGCTGCTATCAAGAGTGTTCTCTTATTCATGGCTGGTTTGTTTATTGGGTTTTTGGTTGAGAAATGCGTCGCTTGTCAAAGCCGATAATCCGATTTCGGATGGCATCGTTTTTGTTTTTCACCTTGCTGGATGCGTACGAGAATTATAAAGGCTCAAGCGATCCTTGCCTTACTTGATAGCTTTCGGGAGCTGCATCTCGAAATATGGTAAGCCTGAGTAATTATTGTATTTAAATATAATTTCATGAAGTCCAGCGCGCAGTTTATGAAGCTAGTTTATGCACGTTTAATTTGTATTAAGATTTGACTGAGACACTGATCTGACCTAGTATGAGGTTTGATATAAGCTTAAGCTTACAGGACTTTAAAAAGCCTCTAGTCGATATTAATTCACCGTAAATAGAAAGAAAAAACATACCGAAGAATATTTAATTATAATTTTGGCTGTAGAAAGAAAGCTTTGAACGATTTTCTTGTCGTGAGTTCATCTTTGGAAACAGCAAACACCGGGAAACCGGCGGCTTAAAACATAAACTTAATCTTTAAGCTTGCTAGTAAAGACTTGAGGATTCTTAGAGACACTTAAATACTCATTTGTTTTCGTGAATGAAAATTCTTGTCTCTGTAAATGTTCTACCGAATTATATTTCTTTATTGATTGTTGGTAGTCTCAAAAGTGTAATTTTCATCGCTTTGCCGTTTGTTTTCAGCCGTTCATAAACATTGCTTGCAGGAGTACTCAAAATGCCAAGCGTATCGAACGCTTTTTAAGATTACACATCGTTATAAAACCGTTGATAAAAAATAGACTCAATAAATTCTTTATAACGTTGAAGCGTAACTCTTTTAAAATTTCTTCGCAAATTTGGGGCTTGTCAAAAGTTAGAACCGGCTGGCCGTATAGGTGATTTTCGAAATGTTTTGAACGGTTTCGCTAATTAAAAGTCCACGCGTGCTTCGATGGTCCTGAATATTGAAGGAATGCAATTTGTCTTGAAAAATTGTGAAATACTGCATTTTGTACCAGGTCTGTATGATAAAAACAGCGCCTCATAGTACTCTTTCTTCTCAGATGTGATGTATAAAAAAAATAAAAGGTTGGTTTGCACGCACCCAGATTTATTGGCAAGAATTTGTAAACTTACCGAATGCAAAAAATTCGGTCTGATTTGTTTTCCAAAAATTTGTTTTCCACGCCTTATTTACTGTGATCAAGAATCATTATTGCTCTTAAATGTGACCGAAGATAATTTTTTGGGTGTACATATAATATAAGGCTATATCAACTCGATATAAGATTTGTTTCACTCCAAAATCACTTAGCTTTTCCCTCAAAAGTCACATGAATGTGCCCTTAAGTTAACTGATTTGTGGAATACAAAATTATTGTTTGATTTAAGTTATAAATTCATCAATGGGAGCTTCGCTTTTAGCTGTGGCTAAATCTATATATTATTGGTCCAAAAAAGAACGAGCTAGGGGTAATGTTACCCAGTACTTAATTAATAAACAAGCATATGAAATTTTTTTTCATCGCGGGAAACAAAACACTTCCGATCTGCATCCAAGTATACGTAACAATGCACGGTGCAGTCAGGCCATAGGATCGACTTGGAACATGTTAACTCATTATCAAATTTTTAGAAATAGCTTTTTTGGGCCTTTTTCGCAGGCGCTAACATTTTCAGAGAAAGAAGGCATCTGCCATTTCCTCCACACATATTTGAGACTTTTAGGGGCAGCCTCAATGAAAACTATGATTAGAAATTAGACGATTTGATTGCTTTCGCGTGGCGTCTCGTCCGCCATGTTGGTGTGCCAACAAGATAAAACGGCCGCCATGTTGGTGTAAAAGCTTTCTTTTGTTCCAATTTGCATAGCCGCTGACCACGTAGGTGAAAACGCTCTAAACCAAAACATTGCGAACAGTGAAAACGTCGCCCCAACGATTGTTTTGTTTTATTTTATGTCAGACCCAGTTCAAACGTCAAACTTTTCTTTACCGAACCAAATCCTTTAATTAGGTAGAAGAAAAAAATTGTCGTTTCAATCAATTGAGGCCGATATATCTAATTTGGGTCGAGCCATGAATTAGTTCGAACGGCGCACATGCTAGGAGCGACTTCGTTTCAAACGTCGACTGACTTTTCACGTGCCGATTTACCTAACGCATAAATTACTATTAATAATATATTTTCACTGGTAAACGTTTTAGACTATGTACATTTTGAAAATGAATTGAGTCCGACTAATTAAGTTCGACTGATTAATTGGGTCGACCCAAATGGCTATTAAGAGTTCGGTACATGAAAAGTTCTACGTTTGAACTTGGCCTTAATCCCCTTCTTTCCCATTCGCCATCAGTTAAAGATCCTTTTCAACATTTTAATGTATTCTGTCATAACTCTTTAAAAAAAGCATGGCGACTTTTATGGGATTTCCATTGACGGAACCACATCCATTGGATTTCCAAGTTGCACTCAATCTTTGTGGCATTGCCTTTTACTTTCTTTTGTTATTTAGAATGCCAAGAGGCTCTCGGTATGGAGAAAAGAGCTATCTCTGACAGGCAGATTAGTGCTTCGTCACAGCTTGATGCTAACCATGAAGCCAGCCAGGGTAGACTGAACTTGAAAGGATCTTGGTCAGCTTACGCTAATGACGCTGAACAATGGCTACAGATTGATCTAGGTATCAATCCTGTCACTGTCACAGGGGTAGCAACGCAAGGAAGTAATTTTCAGAGCCAGTGGGTAACAAATTACATGCTGAAATATAGCGACGACGGTCTGAATTTCCAGTTGTACAAACAACAAGGACAAAGTGAACACAAGGTTAGACACCTCTGCAGACATTTATATTGCTAGGAGTTTGCTCTTCTTTTTTAAAGAAGTGATTGTTGCTTTTCAAAAACATTAGTAGGTACAGCAAATAGTTGACTAATGAAGCAAAATAAAGTTCAGTAATCTGTTTCACTGCATGTAACCCTTAAACCCCAAAAAGTTATCATGAAAGTAATCATCTTGTAAGTTTTGAGATCTTCTGCATCGGTTACCCCCTCGTTAGTGAAGTGTACTTTTCTTCTTCGTCATTTCGTCACCATACTTAATCTCCTCGTTCAATTCCCTCTGAGGAGTCAGTCAGGGTGAGTGAGGCTGAAAAAAACTTTCCAGCACCAAGCAAACAAGAACTGGGATCATTTGGGGTCGAGAATAATTTGTGGTCCATTTTAGCCATCCTTTCCCTTTTGGGGTGTTGTGGTTGGGGTTCATTTGTGGTTCTCTACAGTTCCCCTGTTCCTTTTCACTTTGTTTTCTGAGAGTAATTTTAATTAACATGTTCCCCGAAATTCAATGTTGTCAGCTTTCAACACATAAAGTCGTAATGGGGGCCAGGCCTAACCTGTTGCCGAACCTGAAAAGGCATCTGGGCAAAGAGTAAAGAAAAAATCGGCAGCAGTTCTTTGGAAGGAAAAAAACGACTTCAGGCCCCAGTCTACTCGCAACCAGGTCACAACCAACTGCAAGAGAGCAGAGAAGCAGCAAAATTGTCGAACAATAGAAGTCTGAAAGTAAAAGTTTATTAAAGTAATATTATTTTAAACTAGAAAATCAATGTCCCTTTGTTATTGGAAAGACTCAGCCGTTAACCTGTTCCCTAGAGGCCATTTCAGGATACCTCTTCTGTGTTTCCTGAAGGTAAATGGTCAAGGTCTCTTGTTCCCAAAAACCTCTGCCAGATACTCAATTTCATGTTCATAGTGTTTCTTTTAAAAACAATGCTATTTGCATCTCTACACGCTATTATCAGGGAACTTAAGAACCACCACGACGACTTTGTCGACGACGACCGGAAGTGAGATACAGTGTACTGCGCAAGCGCGGCTAGCAAATTTCGTCGTCGTGGTCTCGTCGACGACGCCAAACACAGTACAGTCACGTCTTCGAGCTTCACAAGCTTCGGCACGTTTAAATCCACTGTTTTTAAGCGATTTTTAAGTGTTCTTTGCATTTTTTTGTCTTCGTAAATCCAGGTATCCTTTCTTTTTTACCGGGCTTTTTTCTCCTAACAAGCGATGTTGACTGAAAATTCGGCTAATGAATTGCTTTTTTTTCGAAGAATGACAACAGCTGTACATGAGGATCCCGAACGAGCGATTTCGTAAGTGATAAATTTATAATTTTATTTTGTACGTACATTTCAAGGAAATGCAAGAGCCGTAATTACGGCTCTTAGGAAAGGCAAATGATTTATCTTTAATATAGAGGAAATAAACTTTATATGGAAAACAGCTATCGCAATGCAGCACCGTAAGTGGAAATAGGCGTTTTCGTGATGGAAAAATGAACAGTGAAAACGTGATTGCACAGGAGTGACATGTCAAATACTTGATCTGAACAATTGATTCGAACACCTCTTGAAACTGAACAAATTCGTCAAAGCCTGAGGGCGGTTGTGCCTTTTTGTCTGCCCGAAAGCCGTTAGTCTTTGTGCCGGACCCAAAATTCCAGTAAATATATTTATAAAGCTTATTATGAATGAACACTTCAACGGCCTTTGGCACGGTTTTCTACCACTTCTTTTAGGCTAGATAGCAGGAGTTTAATATCATAGCGTTTGTATGCGAATCCAAACCTCTGTTGTGAACAAAAATATGAGTTGTAAACCCAAGCTAAAAGGCAAAAGATTCTACCGACAAATTCTGAGGGTTTTGTCCGCGCTGTAAGTTAGCCCAGTCGCTTGTTTATTTTAAGCTTAAGCTTATATTTTCCATACATTTTTGTGTACTTTTCACAGGAAATATTTTTACAGTCAAATGTGCAGGAAATTTATGTCATTAAAATAAGGGATTCTAGCGAAGGTAAAGCCCTCAATTGTTTCCAAGAAGTGCTCTTTGGCTAATAGCTTAATTATGCAATTCTCTTTTGCAAATACAGAATTTTCACAAAGGCGGAATCTTACTCAAACGCTAGCGCAACGACTACAATCACGAAACATATAAACTTACCTTAATTTTACATTACTAATTCACGAACATTTGCAAAGGATTACGGTCAGTTTTCGACTGCAAATTCTCTAATTTATTTTTAGGAATCCGAACTTTACATGGAGTTAGGATTATGATATACTTATGTGCCGGGAGGTTCTAGACATCGAGCCGTACCAGTTTAAATCACGAAGTCCCGAAAGAGGGAAAGGACGGAAAGCATGGGAAACCATTTCGAATCACTTATAATAAATGCGACGTCGTATCCAAAGATTAGAATCACCCCACGATCTGTTCGTGACCGATACAACCTTCTAAAGTTCCAAGTAAGACTGAACAAGAGAGAGGGCCAGTGGCATTTCTGATGATAATTCCAAGCTTGATAATCTTTTCGAGGAGATCTTGGAGAAGGAAAAAGCGGCAAAAGAGAAGCTCGACAATGACGATGAAGATAAAAAGAAATCTCTTGCGAATGAAAATGCGGTAGCTGAAGATGTGCGAAAACGTGCATTAGAACGGGTTGAGCAAACAGCTAAACGAAAGGGCAAGGAAGAAGGACCGGAGGCAGAAAAAAAGTCCAAGAGAAAGAGTCCAAAGAGCACAGGTGAAGCAATGGAATATTTAAAGGAAAGAGCCTCTAAAGAGATACAGCTAAGAGAACAAGAGTTGGAGATGAGAAAGGAAGAGCACGATAGTATGCCACAAAGGGAGAGAGAAAAGAGTGAACATCAAGATAAGATGCTATCTACTATGCTCAAGCAGCAACAACAGCAGCAGCAGATGACGATGATGCTTTTAAATAAGCAGCAACAACAATCAAAGGCTTTAATTTCCTTTATGGGAAAAATTAACCCAAAGTAAAACACAGTTATTTTTATTGTTTTCTCTTTGGATACACAGAAGATCAGTTCTCTCTTATAATTAATTGTCCATATTTTCGACATTTTATCAGTTAAAGTATCGTGTTTCGACCGTTGTTACAAATGTTATTTTTAACTACTTGTTGGGTTTTCTCCATTGGCAACCTACAAGGACACGAAAACTGTTCTCGTGGGTACTGCTCAGGGCGAGTTTTGGAGGCCTTTTTCGTGTTCTCAGATCCCTAACTTTTTTAGTAAGGCCAGCTGCAAAGTCTTTTATCAGATAAGAAGTGTTCTTAGCATAACTCAAAAAACTATTTTCACATCAACGACTTCGCACTTATCCTCGATTCGACAGGAGGCTTAGGGCAACTAGCCGAATGCTATTGTTTGATGTTATTGATGTTTCTTAATTAGTAAGCTTTCACTGATATCAATTAAAGACAAGTTCGATCTTCATTCAGCTAAAGTACTCTTCTAGAGTAGGTGGTTCGAGGTCAAAAACGAGGAGGTTTGATTACCGTAAAGACAGGTAGGAGCATTTTGAAGAAGTGCAGAAACTATATACATTTTACCAACACTACTATGGCCGATTTTAAGGTTTTTCTTAAAGTCTAGACTCTTAAAATAGTTAATTATGTCACCAAATAACTATTCAACGGAGGTCCTAACGGCACTCATTGAAGCATTGTATGCTTTCATCTCATCTGTAAGGACCCCATGTCGAAACGGACATTGTAGATGTACCCTTAGGGGATATACGAGAACCCCATAAACGCAGAACGGTTGGCCAGCGTGGGAAAAAACAAATTGTTGTAGGTCACGAAGAAATCTTGACTCTGTCAGCATGGATGCATCATGTTTTCTGCCCTCTGTAAAAAAAACACGGAAAAAATAATAACTATTAACTTTGGCTAACTCACCCTTGTATGTATACGGAATTCAGTAAGCTCACCGCAAGAGAACTCTACAGAGCGTTGAAGTCTTAAAAACATTCTATTTTATAGAATTCATAACTTACCTACTGGCCCGTACATATTAGCAATTAAGCCATTTGGCAAAACGACGGACTGGAACTTCAAAGCGTGCACCCGCTTATGGCCGTTGTATAAGATACGTTGGTTGTCCCCAGGGCAAGCGATTGGTCTTACGCTGCCGTCTATAAACCCAAAGCAATTTTGCAGGAGGGGGGGCACCTCTTGCGGTTATTGCTGCAGAATACATCTCCATTTGGTCAGGGTCTAGGATATCATGATTCCATCGAGTTATTCTAGGACTGTGGGTGGCGTATATAATGTCCAGCACAGCGTTCGTCACAATACTTATAACTGGGACGGGTTCGCAAACCTAGGAGTCATCCGCATATCTGCATGGAAATGACAAGCGTCTTAAGACCATACAAAGACCCTCCAGGCCGTCACAAGTAGATCCTTGTTCACACCGTATGGTCTTTGGAATGCCAAGAACATCTGCGAGTATGGGAATGTCTCTTTTTCGAAATCTGAACTCTTACAGACACTTGGACTCCGTCATCTCATCCAGGTTGAACGGTGAATAATCTTCGTACGGAAAGCAGGAATTTTTCCAATCGAAAAGGTCAGGCAATACTAAAAATTCTTCATCATCAATGAAATTAGACGTATGGCTCAAAAAAATAAGATCTTGCATTGTTTTAAAGACGCCATTGCGAAAAACCTTTGTCGCGAACGAACAGTTTTGTGTTTACATTCAGTGCCGTCGTTGTCCTACCGACCGACTGCATCTTAAATTTCCTTTTTCCCCTTCGAAAGTGACGTTCTCGTTCCAGTCAACGGACGTCGTAGTCGTGAACTTACTCGTGGTTCTTAAGTTTCCTATTAACAGCTTTCTTCCGTATTAGAGCTTACGTCTAGGTGTGCAGGGACCAGGGGTTTTTATGAAATTCAGTGCCTGGCGATACAAATGTCACCCTCCGATTGGGAATAACAGGCAAATGGAGCCAAAACCGCGACTAATTGTCCATCTAACTACTGTTTTCTTTTCTTTTTTTTTTTTTTTTTTTTTGGCCTGCTTCAGGTCTTTGTTGGCAACACAGACGAGAATACTATCGTTTATAACGAATTCAATGGGTCGATTGTAGCACGCTACACACGTTTTCAACCAACAGCTTGGCATAACCACATATCAATGAGGGTGGAACTATATGGGTGCAAAGGTACTTTTTTTGTTAACATCCTTCTTTTGTGGAATTCGGAAAAAATACAAACAAATCCTTGTTTAAATTATCTCTTTTGGCCTGCCTTTTTTACTTTATTGCTAATAGCGGAGTTCTCGCGCTCGCAAAGCGCGCACCAGCGGAGCACCATGGGTAAGAAAATTTAGTAAACTATCCATTCGAGAAATTCGAAATTTGGTTATGACTTAGCTTACTCCCGCCCACCCGTACACACGCTTCATGTAAGCTGATTTCAGATGTCACATTAGATCTTGCAGAAATTGACACTTTGTAAACCATCCGTATGAGGATGAATTAAAAGCTGTTAAAATCAGACGTGCGCTGACAGTAATCACATGACCATCTCGCTGGCTCAGATGAAAGACCAGTCGTTTTTCCCCTACATATAAGCTGATAATAATATGTCACACTTACCAACATGAAAGTGAAAATGAAATGAAACTTCGTTTTCAACGGGCAGGGCTGTCAGTCGGTTGCCAGTAGTTTAAAGTTATGTGCACAAGCCAAATTAAGGTCAATCGATAGCTACCAAAATGGGACATGTGCAGACCACTATCAGATCACTGACAACGCACGCTCAAATACACGATCTGACATTTCGCCTCCATTAATCCTTCATTACAACCCCGACTGAAATGTGTTACTCACACTCCCAGTCCACCTTCCGTTCATTAGAAAACTCGCCATTCTAATGAAGTTCATTTGACAGCTGTCAAAGTAGAGCATCCGCTGACCATCATCACCTGACCGTATCACGGGCTCAGGTATCGGCTCAAGTTCAATTTTTTTTAATGCATAGGAAATAGGAAGTTACTATTTTTAACAAATGGACAACAACTTTAAGTTTAAAACAAGACGTGTTTGGCGATCGTTCAACGATCATCTTCAGTTGTGAATTCGTTTGTAAGTTCGGTTGAATTAATACAAGCAATGACGTATGAGTTAAAACGTGATACAAATCAAAATTTCGAAAAATTAACGTACAATTTTAAGATGCGCGAGCCATGGAATAACACTTGCGCGAGCACTACGCTTAATACAAGGAAGAAAACTGTAAAAATTGAAATAATTACAATGGCTATAACACAAAATGTTATGAGAACAAAAAAATATATATATATATACATATATATAAGATAAACTTAAAGAATAATATCAGAACGAGAGAGTTAAGTCAGCACGTTTCAGCTGCTTATTTTCCCATTTGATGTGCATTGCCTCCTTCAACATAAGTTGTAGTCTGTTGGGTGCATAATCCACGATGGAAAAGTAATTCTTATTAGCTAGACAACGACATGCCTGGGATTGCTGCAAATGCTGATAAACGTGTGAATTCCTATCCCTGCTCAGATGCTTACGAACGCGCGTCGAGAGATGTCGGCTAGTCTCGCCGATGTAACAGGCATTACAGCCTGCACACAAAAACTTGTAGACAACGCGCGAACGGCGATCGAAAGGAACAGGATCCTTCACACTAAACATACTAGGAAACATAAATAGGAAGTTGTGTTTATGAGCCGCACTATTTAACTTTTAATTTCAAACTGACCTCGGACACGAGAATTCAGCCAGCTTTTACAGGCAGGGATGTTGCTTTTGACCTTTCTCTCCATGGTCACGCGTTGGTCACGCTCTACGTCCAGTTTTTATGCTCTGATTGGTCAAAATTTGACAGGTGAGTTCATGCGGAAAATTTATGCAGCATCTTGAAACTTGTTTACTGGGAACTCAAACTTACGGTGACCCACATCTGCCACGGCAAAACTTACTTTTCCACGGCAAAACTTACTTTCTACGGCAAAACCTACTTTTTCGTGGCTAAACTTAGTTTTGCGCTAGTCATCAACACTGGCTATCTTTAAAACAAGGAACGGGGATCGGGGAATGGGAAACGGGTACTCTAAAATGGAGAATCTTTAGAAGCGGGAATCTTTGCAGCACCACGAGAAATTGCGCTAATGTATGTGACCGAACCTTCTCGAGAGTAAAGCTGTCTCTGGCAATAATGTTTGAGATTCTTATTTCAACTGTGGCTTAGTTTCACAGGGGTCGGCGGGCGTGACGGCTTGGGAGCAATATTCAACTTTTTTTACGCGGACGCAATCCTTCCATACCGTTCCCCAAACAAATTCCCCCGTGAGTGAAATTGAACCCGTGCAATCGTGTATTGCCGTGCGTAATTTTGTGTGGCAATGTTCAGTGGCATTCAACAGTAATGAGAAGATGCCTTCTCATTTTTGGGATTAGTTTTATGGTCCTTTCCTCGTTTTTGTGTGATACTCATTCAGAAACAGTACCGTTCTCACACACACAAAAATAAAAACAACTAGGAAACTGTATCCCCAGTAGATAAAGAAAAGTATGAAAACCAAATTGTATTTGCTTGTCATAAATTTTCCCAAAGGTGTTCCAGATGGCAGAAAACTATAGAAAACATTAAAGCAGCAGGCAACGTTCTGCCCTTTCCAACTCATGTTGATGTTAGGTCAAAAAATAGATAGCCTTGTTGGCCATGAATTATAATGCAAGGAATATTTTGAGCGGTTTTTGTCGCAAAATACGAACCGAAAGAAAAGCCAGCCGAAAATGTTGATGTCAAAACGGCTGCTCAGTACGGCGCAAGACTTTACAGAAACCGTCATTAAGGAAGCAAAAATTTTAAAGGAGCTATAGCAGAAGAACATTGTATCAAGGCCGTTTGCGAGGAGCCTATGGCGATGATGTCAGATTCCCCGTTTTAAATGGACCGTGTCACGATAGTGCGCATGTGTGAGCTGTGACAGTAGCTGATTGTCTTTGAACCAATCGGAAGCGAGTAAGATGCACGCGAGGAAATTTACATATTTAAGATTCATTGTTAGCGAAGCGGGAGTCTTCCGAACGTTTATGTTCCATTTTATATATCCCCATAATTCATATTTATTCTCTGGTATTCCTCAGATAAATGTTGCAGCTGATAAGAACAAGATTAACAACCCTGTCCTGCTTTGAAACAAACATTTACCTACGTGTATTTTTACGTACACACGCTAAAAAACCAGTCTCCGATCCGCAAACAAAAATAATTTGTAAACAAACCTTACTGATCTCTCTGTTTACCCTATATAAACTTAAATAAGTGCTAACAATATCGGATTAACTAACAGCTATATAATTAACCTTATAAAATAAAGGTGGTGTAGGTGGGTGACTGGGTTTAACTTCTTTGTTTGGGAAAAATTTGTTTTCTAGGCCTAATCTACTTTGATCGAAGAAGATTGCTCGATGTAAAATTTGTTTCACTCTTGCACTGCCAAATTATTTTTCCCAATCTCTAAAATCACTTTCCCTCAAAAGTCTCACGAATGTACCTTAACGTTAACTGATTAATGTTCAATGTTTCGTTTAAATTATTAATTTATTAACGTGAGCTTCGCTTTTAGCCCTGGCTAAATCTATAAATTAAAATATTTACATTTTCAATTTCATATTAAATAGGTTTCTCCTATTGAAGAAACCCTTAATTCTGATACTTTGACTTCGTGACTTCATAGAATGCCCAAGATAGAAAAGAAGGAATTCATGACACTCGTTATTCCTATCCATTGTGGAGACCCTTTGGGAAAACAACAAACAATACAAACAAACAAAAATAAAGTTCAGACGAACTAAGAAATATTTCATCTCACAGCTTTGTTATGGAGCGTTGTTCTTAGAAGCGTTGAGTCTCGCTTGCTTGGAGATAAGATAACAAAATGAGGAGGCCATTAGACCGCGAGGGGTCGTCCTTGTTTCCTAAGGGCCACGCTCGGCGAGCAATAAAAAAGTAAAATTATGCTTTCGAAATACTGTGACTCAAAAGAAAAATAAGAGACTGCTCACTTTCTAGGAGGCGATTAATTCTGCACGAAACAGGATTTCCTCTCTAAAAGATTTCCAATTCCTATTTTATCGAGGGTCGAGTATTCTTCAGGATATTCAATTTTTATAGCGCATTCGACGATTTGTTTCTGAATTTGTTTAGTACTTGTGTAAGCGACGACCGGAAATACGTTGGCGGTGGCACCCTATACGCGTTTATAAATTACATGAAAGTCAAGGACCTCGATTCGGAGGAAATCACATCATTGCCAAACAGCCAAAAATAAACCGCATGCTCACCAAAAGACTCATTTCCATACAATGAATGTTTACAACACCCAAACCAGTTAGCCTCACCATCAAAGTTTTGTTAATTAACTTTTTTTCGACCATTGAAGTGTTTACTTGTTCTAAAGTAATCAACGCTTTCAAGCAATAGAATTCGTGGACCGACAGGTTCCGGAAAAGTTCTACACCGCATTAATCTTTCCTAAGCTTTCTTCGCAAAACATGCATGGCTTCGGTTACACAACGGTTATTATTCCCAGTTTCCACAGTCTCCGCTAGGAACGCTTGGCAACATGATCTCCCTTTTGTGTCCTGAATAAGAAGAAAAAAAAACGGCTCGCACATCTTATGAGTCTCGCTGCTTACGCAAGCGAGACTAAAAAGTGTGCTGCACGTGCAAAGCTGTTGTCCTGCTAATACAAACCTTTTGCTTCTTTGCCCCTCTCGTTGCTTTTTTTTGTGTAACCGACAACGTCGGTCATTATTCTTGTTGTTGTAATTATTCCGTTTTATGCTGCCCGAAGCATTAAATGGAATAATTAAAAAAAAGATTACACGCGATTCTACGTATGCGTATCCCAGAATAATGTTGATCAAACGAATCCTAAACAGGTGTCTTAACCCCACCACTCCGTACTGAATATACGGTATACAGAACTTACATCTTCAATGAGAACATCATTCGTAGGATGCTAAACATGTTGAATTTACATTTGCTGTGGCGTTTCGCGACCGCTGGGCCTTAAAAACTGGTTTCTTGTGTGTAAAACATTGCGTACCCTCTTGATAAGTCGGCCAAGAAAATTGCTTGTTCAGGCCTTGGGTGAAGCTGTTCCTGTTAACATTATTCCCAACTCACACAATCTCCCCCTTAAAATCCAACACAAGTAGTATGAATATAACAGCGTGAATTCTTTAGGTCCGATTCTTTATTTTTCCTATTGAAGAAACTTTTAAGCTTGATACTTAGGCTTCGGAGTGACTTCATAGAACTGGCCCAAGATAGAAAATAAAGAATTCATGACACACGTCGTTCCTATGCATTGTGGGGATCGTTTGGAAAAACAGTAAATAAAAAACAAACAAAAACAAAGTTCAGACGAACTAACAAATATTTCATCACAAAGCTTTGTTTTTAATCGTATACATGCCTTTTTCGGTCTCAGTTAAAGAGTCCTAGATTTACCTAAAGTGCTTATGGTTCTAAACAATATAAACGGAAACGGAAGACCGAAGTATAATGAAATCAGAGTGGCTTATTATCAGAAGTTTGTTTGATATCGCCATATATTTTTACTGTTGGAATGAACTTGTTCGTTTTAATAGGAAAACCCGTATACCGCCGCTGGTTTCTAGATGGCAGTGATCGAGATGTGAGGTTAGTGGGGTTATGCCTTTTGCGCCTTACCCCTACTTCGGATTTTTTATACGACAACGACTTCCCTTCTTAGCTCTCTCTATAACTCTTAAATAAATTTTCAGATTGACCATTCTCTCTTTCATGATGACATCCAGATCTCAGCATCGCCTCAAACTTATGCCTTTGCATTTCTGACTGCTGCAGGTGGCATTACACTCATAGCGTTGAATGGTTAACTTTTTGTCTCATAACTTAGGATTCGAGGGTAAAATGGTGGCTTGAACTTTCCTATCACAGGTAATTCTTTTATTCACAGCTAAATTCATTCATTTGTTTTTGTCATCTTACAGGTATTTTGGTACCGTTACCTATACTAAAGGCTGGTGTCCTGGAAGCAAAGCGGCGACTTTCAGTCAGAATGGTTCCTATGTTACTGTGCCCAACATTAACATAACAACCTGTGACTTTACAATTGCATTTTGGGTAAAGTATATTGGTGTTGACGGGCCTATACTGGCACTTCGGTCACAGGGTGGAAAACTTTTTCACGTTACAGTCAAGAATTCCCGACTCATTTTATCGATACACAACACTTTCCACTTACAAGTCAATTCCTGGAATCACGTAGCAGTAACCTGTCAGGTGAATAAGATCAAGGTGTTCGTTAATGGTGCGGAGGAGGCATTGATAGACCAAAGGAAAGAGAATTTCTTCTCATCATTAGGCCGTTATCAGCCAGAGTACATCATAGGGAATGATCCAGTTTTGGTCAAGATGCCAATGACAAATGGGGTGTTTGTTGGAGCAGTCATGGATCTTTATGTGACTGGAATAGTTTTATCTCCGAGGCAGGTCTCTGACCTGAGTAAAGGTAAGAGTAGTGTCTATCCGAGGATAAATCGTAATCTTCGATCCTTAATAGAGGTCAGTTGGATGTTAAAAAATTGAATGTTCTTCTTATAGTCCTGGTTTAATAATGTTTTGGCATAATTCGTCATAATTTTCATCAATTTTCCAAAAACTTTTGTAATAATTTGCACTTGTCAATGGTGGATCCAGACCTTCAGATAAGAGGGGGGAGGGCCCGATCATCCAGATCCTGAGATTGGGGGAGGGGGGCGGTCTCCAAAAAAATTTTTTTTGGCCCTTCGGGCCTCAGTTTGGCCTAAAAATAGAGGAGGGGAGCGGGCCCCCCGGGCCCCTACCCTAGATCTGCCACTGCTTCTGGCTAGTTTACAGCTCAAAATTGATCATGTTACCACTTATTTTGGCCCGACATCAGAATTACAGGCAAATTTAAGTCACGAAATCAATTTTTTGCATGCGCATAGTCATCTCGATTACTTAAGATGGCGTCAGCAATTCTCGTCCCCAGAGCCCGTCGTTTAAACACGGTAAAATTCATCTACCATGGGCAGAAATCAGAGACAGCCAGCGGTCAATTTGCGGGCTCATGCCTGTTTTCGATTTCTTTCAAAATATTGGCACAAAAATGATAAAATTGTTGTTAAAAGTAAAGAATCAAGCTTTAAAGTATATTTTAGATCTTTAAAGGCGATCTAAGAGCACCAAAAGCTCTCTTTCTTGCCTATACATTCTAGTCACGCTTGCTGTCACGGGTTGGTCACGTGTTCTTGAAACGAGGGGCTCTGGAAGCAGCCCTTACCGGATGTCCGAAAATTTCGGACATCCGATCATGCTTGTGCAGAAGTTACAAATATCACTGCTCATGCTATCTTTAATATTTCAAAACGTCTTTTGAAACGAAACAATTCATGTGAAGTGTTATCAAAGTGGACAGGAAAATAGAATATATATATTCGTTTCACTCTACCTAGTTGTGTTTTTTTCCTATGTTTATTTCTTTTTGAGATGTCGAATGGTAGGTTTTAATTTTGCCCATGAGCTTTTGTGTACAACTTGAGTGAAGACAACCGAAGGTTTATGTCAAAACAAATCAATATTAATCATTTTGCTGTCCCAAACAGGGTTAAAGAACAGTACAAACTTTGTCCAGGAGAAGTGACACCTTACTGGAGGGGGTTGATAGATATCTGAGAAAGTCTCTTACACTTCCACGGACTAGAAAACTGAGTGAATCAAATTGCAGTTCAGTTCTTTCTGTAAGACAACCCTAACTGAAACTTGATTCACTCAGTTTCCTAACCCTAATCATAAACTTGAGGGTCATTTGGTGTTGGTGGCCATTTAGTGTTTTGCGAAAGGGGACCTTTATCTATTAGAGGTTTATCCTCCCAAAGATTTCAGTTATCTTCTCCTGACTAAATATCATCACCAGTGCCTCAAAGACGGAGTTGTCAATAATTTTGCTGTCCAACTGAGAAAATCGTGAACGCCTGAAAATTTTCAGGAATGTTGATTGTGTAATGACCAATCACTATAAAGTTCAGGACACTTGAGCAAACCTCAAAGGGGTAAGGGGTTTTAAGGTTTTTTTTTTCGAAAAAGGAGGGGCTTATATCTAAGGGGCTATATAACTAGAATAGAAAAAGCGATTCGAAATGAAATACTTCTTGCATTTACTGGTTTTAAACTAAGCTTCAAAATGTAATTGTGGAAGATTAGAGGAGGGCTTATAACCAGGAGGGCCATTTTTTCTTGTTTACCTCTCACTATCTGAATGCCTAGAACAGGTTATAATAAGCTTTATAGCTGTAATTTCTTATCTGGAACAGTGAAATGTAGAGTGATATACACTTTATATAGACTGTATGCTTTAGAAGACCCCCTTAAGAAGTACACTTTGAGTATTGCACAGCCCAAAAGCATTTTCTTGGGTAGCTGCATTCGTCATGTTTTGAAAGTGGAGTGCAAGGCCTCTTTTGAAATTGGGGATGGAATTTTGGATCAGACCTGAAATAGGATAGGGAAAATCACATAGTTTCGTCAAACTTTGGCAAGGCAAGAAGCATACTGCATGCAGGGCCAACCTGAACTGATTTTTGGAGGGTAGTACAGTTGTATTGAAACTGAATGTGCTTTGTAGAGTTAAAGTACAATATCTGCTCACAGCTACAATTGTATAATTGTTTAGTTCACTTAAAATTGATTATTTCATGTTATAATATGAGGGTTTCCAACTAGGAAAGAGTTTTACCCGAACTGAATCAATGACCACTGAAAGCAAGTTTTAATTTGGCTCATTACATGTCAATAACCAAGTAGACTAAGATGCCATATGCTTCAGTAAGCTAAGGCCGTGTGCAAGCTCAAGGAGGGGGGGGGGGATATCAGAGGTGGTTAGGATTAGCTAGAAAACTAGAATATTACTGTTGCTCAAACTATTATGTTACCCACCCTATCGAAGGTGACATAGTGCAAAATCCAGTTGTCATCATCAACAACCACTTACTCCTGCAGTATGATACAAAATAGACTACTCTAGGCTGTTGTTCATTTATTATTTTATTTATCAACACCTCAGTTGTCCATAACATTATCAATAAATCTACATTAGGCCAGTTTTCATATAATATATGCCTAATTTTAAACAGTTTCTTAAAATTTTTCAGTATTTATGGTCAGCGGCTGTTACCATTTTTGCTTAGGACTCGTGCTAGTTGCCGCCATGTTCTTGTTTATCACATGTGTGATTTAGGTTTACAATCCATGTAATCCTTCGCTCATCTGTATCGTGTAAGGCAGACTAAGTTGTTATCTGGAGATAAAGAAAAGATCTGAGGATTAAAGTTTTTCTTTTTTTTTTTCTTGTGAATGACAACGAAACTCCTTCGGATGCTAAGTACGACTTTCGAGGGCAACCACAGTTTTCTTGTATTTTATAACTTTCAAAGCAAATTGTTGAGAACATTGTGCTACCTTATTTAGTGATCAGACGAATAACATAATTATTTATGAAGAAAAATTGTGCAATAGCTACTTCATTGTTAACTGTTCATGATAAACAACCCTAAAGGCCCTTGTTGCCAGTTAAAATTTTGAAAGCTCCTTCAATGATCTTAATGATACGGTGCTACAGGTCGAAACCGCAATTTCGAGTACAAAGAAGACAAAGTAACAACGCAAATACTTGATTTAATCAAATACAAAAACTATTGAAACTAAACATTTCATTCATCGCCTCAAACGATTTCCGCAGATTTCGTCCCGTTTTTTATTTTATTTTTTTTTGTAATGCCAACATCTTAACACAAGTATCTTTGTTTTCTTATTCTTGTCCAAAGTGTCAGTGCCCAGCGTACATTTTCAAGAATCTATGCGTTGATTGTTTCCTATACAAATTTTCATCAGTCTGGTAATACATTTTCCTTTTAAATGGCCCAGACAAGAAGCCAAAACAAAACGGCAGCAAAACAAAACGACATTCACAGCAACAAGAAGCGAAGAGTGTTCGCCGACGAACCGCCGTCAGCCAACAAAATTTTTTTGGGCGCGTTGTCGCAGAGACTTTGCGCTGACTGGCTATTTTGCATTGCCTATTGTATTTTCTGGCATTTGATTGGCTCAGACCAGCTGTCTTATTTTTCTTAAATTGGACAGTTTGCCTATTTGTAAAGGAAAGTCCTATCTGAAACTATCCAAATTAATCCTTAATTGGACAGTTCGTAAAAATTAAAGGATAATAGCTTTGCTGACAATATCGGATTAACTAACAGCTATATAATTAACCTTATAAAATAAAGGTGGTGTAGCTGGGTGACTGGGTTTAACTTCTTTGTTTAGGCTGTTACCATTTTTGCTTAGGACTCGTGCTAGTTGCCGCCATGTTCTTGTTTATCACATGTGTGATTTAGGTTTACAATCCACGTAATCCTGCGCTCATCCGTATCGTGTAAGGCAGACTAAGTTGTTATCTGGAGATAAAGAAAAGATCTGAGGATTAAAGTTTTTCTTCTTTTTTTCTTGTGAATAACAACGAAACTCCTTCGGATGCTAAGTACGACTTTCGAGGGCAACCACAGTTTTCTTGTATTTTATAACTTTTAAAGCAAATTGTTGAGAACATTGTGCTACCTTATTTAGTGATCAGACGAATAACATAATTATTTATGAAGAAAAATTGTGCAATAGCTACTTTTTTGTTAACTGTTCACGATAAACAACCCTAGAGGCCCTTGTTGGTCTTTGGCTTATAAATGGCACGTGACTGGAAGCCAAGAAAGGACTGTTGGGATGAGAGAGTATGTTCTTGCAACACATCTGTAACAAGTCGGTTACAGAGCCTTTCCTTTCACAGCCTAATTCTTACTGTTAAATTAAACACTATCAGAGGGCCTCCAGAATTATCTAAGCATGAGTAAAGAATTAATTCAGCGGAAGAAAATGTAGATTGGAAAGAGTACTTGCCCTATCATCTTTACACAAAAATGTGAAAAATTGCCTTATGCGTGCAGCCCAAAGGATTCATAAGCCATTCAGTTTTGGCTTTGTGCACTGACATCAGTGCTCTAATGAATAAAGGCTTGACACAGAAAATTATTTTGACCTCTTAGTATTGCAAAGGAGATACAGTACTTTCAGCAGAAAAAACAATAAATTAATAGCACTTTGTAATACTCAGTAATAAACTTATCATTTCTGTAATGTAGTCCTTAAGCTTGATTTTCTCTCTTACTGTAACACTGACGAATATCCGGAGGAATTAGAAAGACTGATTAGATTTAATAGAGGGTCTCAATGGGGTGGTGGCTTTTACGGTTATCGGCTAAAGTTTTGGCTCTTTTACGGCTATCGGTTAATTTTTTTCAGTTACGGTTAACAAAAAAGTTAAAAATTAACTTCGTTTGTTTAAAAAAGTTAAATATTAATTAACCTGTATTTTTTTGTATCTTTAAATCAAAATAAAGGTGTTCGGATCATCTCGGGATGAAATGAGCTATTCTTTTGAAAAATTTTAACATTATTTGATAGATCATACTTTTTACACAGCATTCCACTTCTAATATCATTTTACACATAGAAATGTCAATAGTCAGTTTAAAAATAATCTTTGTGAAAAAGCAAAAACAGACACGCGAACGCCAAACTCAAGGCCGGGGCGCCACATTCATTATAACAGAAATGGCCGTTTTCACACTAGAGAAGGATTATTCGTGTGAGACGCTGGGTTATCGGTTTGATGATTCGCGTCTTTGTTTATTGTTTTGTTTGCCAAAAATTGTACAAATCAAATAAAATCTAATTACTAAATTTACTTAAACTCTCATGGCGAGGAAGCCCAAGAGAAGCCACCGGGCTTATAAGGAATGGGCTCTCTCAGTTAGATAATTAGAACAAAATATTATCATAATTACACATGGGAAAATCAATGGCAGAGCTACAGTAAATCTTAAAATAAGTATATTAGATAGTCGTACTAATCATAGTTCTAGGCTAAAAAAAGCGAAATGACAAAAAGAAAAAAAAACAAAAAGAAAAAAAAGGAAGAAAAAAATACATATATATGAATATAAATTACTATTTATGATAAGAGGAATGCTTTCAGCTTACAGCAAAAGGACGCGGTACTTGTTGCATTTCGAATTTCAAAACTAAGAGAGTTAAAAAATTTAGGACCTTGGAAACTGATGGAGAACTTTCTTATATTAGTCCTGCATTGTGGTAAATAAAAATGTTCCGAACTTCTAGTGCCATAAGAATGCACCTGGCGTGTCACCAAAAACATGTTATTGAAGCTATAAGGAAGTAAGCCAGATCTGTATTGATACATAAATTTTCCTATTTGAAGTTTGTAGGTACTCTCAAGATTCAGAATTTTTAAATTTTTAAATAAGGGGTCAGTGTGAGCATCGAAAGCACTCCTCGACATTATTCTTACGACCCGTTTTTGAAGGGTGATTAATCTCCTGAGGTTTGATGGGTAGGTCGATGCCCAGACGCTCACGCAGTAGAATAAGTATGGGTAGATAAGGCTAAAATAAAGCATCCGTAAGGAGGAATTATTAAGGCAAAAACTTGATTTATAAATTATACCTATGGCTTTAGACACTTTCCGAGCAACATTATGTATATGTGATTTCCATGTTAAATGTTTATCCAAAATTACACCAAGAAAAATAGCTTCCTTAACACGATCAATCGAATAATTACTAATATTAAAAGCTAGATTAAGTGTTTGCCTGTTTTGTTTCGGTCTGAATATGACAAAATTAGATCTCTTAACACTAATAGATAGCTTATTTGTATAAAACCAACACGTTATCTTTTTTAATTCTAAATTTACAACTTCCATAAGATAGGAAGCATCAGTATGCGAATAGAAGATATAATTGTTATCAGCAAATAGTATCAGCTCTAAGACCTTTGACACATTACATAGATCATTTATATATACTAAGAATAACAGGGGACCTAAGATAGATCCCTGAGGGACTCCGCAAGTGATATTTAATGATGAAGAGTTGTAACCATTATATTGCAAAAATTGTTTTCGACAAGAAAGATAACTTTTAAACCATTGTAAAGCAATACCACGTACTCCATAATGTTCTAATTTGTCGAGCAAAATTTCATGATTTACTGTATCAAAGGCCTTAGATAAGTCAATGAATAGGCCTAAAGTTACCCTTTTATTAATGAGGCGTTTGTAGACGATTCTTTCTAGGAATTTAGAGAAAACTGGTAACACTGATACGGGTATGTAATTTGTGAACAAAGATTTATCACCAGGTTTAAACAATGGAATAACTCGTGCAATTTTCATCTCTTTGGGTACAACTCCAGAATTAAGAGACAAGTTAATTATATACGTCAATGGTGCGCAGATTAAGTTAAAAGACTCTTTAACAACATTCATTGAAATACTATCATATCCTGGAGCAGTACCGGATCGAAAGTTGCTACAAATCTCAGTGACTTCTTGTTCTGATGCCGATTGAAGAAAAAATGAATTAATAAAGCCTCCATTCAGAAAAGAACGATGAGATTTGTGAGACACCGGAATTGATTTAGCTAAGTTAGGTCCAATATTCGTAAAATACTTGCAAAAACGGTTTGCTATATGAGTAGGATTAAATATTTCTTCTTCATTAGATTTGAAGATGGAAGGCAACTTACACTTAATTTTCTTCTTGTCAGATAGGTAATACGTCTTAATTTGAAATGGAATAGTTTTAATTTTGAATGAACAATCCGCCTGACTTTTGAAGACCGGATTATCCGTTCCAGATAGCCTGTGTACAGGCGCCCCCTCCGCCAAGAAAAAATCGGAGAAGGGATGTCTGTGGGGAAGG